TATATGCGTATTTATAGCCACTACATGTAAGCACGTGTAAATAAAAATTTTATTTCTAAAAGCATTTTTTTTTTTTTTACAGGCCTTGAAGAAAGGACTCAAACATTATTTTATATATGTTTTCTTTTTCATTCACAGTAATGACCGTAATGCAAATTAATAATTAACTAATTAGTAAATACATTTTTAATAAGGAAGTTCCACGAAGGAAATACGTTTTTTTTTTCTTCAAAAATGCATGAAAAAGGATGAAAAGGTACAATAGCTGACGTCATAAAAGACATTCGGCTGTTTTCGGGATTCCATGAACAAGTGTGATCGAAGTGATTGTGAACCATGCGTAATCCGTGCGGAACTCTTGTGAACTAGTACCTAAAATTTTATTTATTTAAGACGAAAGACAATTAATATTATCTAGACTGCGATCATGAAGAGATCCTTAAACGATTCAAAATAACAAGTTCCTATAAAAGGAGCTTTGGAAGTTGTAACAGGATTCTCCATTTGCGAACTATAATAATAATTAAGTAAAACCAATTCCACAATAAAGATTAATTAAATTATGTGTATGTTCAAATATAATATAAGATTTTTGAATTTTGAATATTTTTAATTAAAATAATAACATTTTCTGGACTCTAACAACAGGGTATAAGAAAACTTTCTCTTATTATTAGTAAATAAAAAGACCTAATCGGTTTGAAAGTTAAAGAAGATAAGACAAAAATTAGGGATGGTGTAAAAAATAACATATATGATTTGCAAAGGCTTTAAGCTTAGGCTGAAATTTCTTTTACCCACAATTAACCAGAAAAAAATGATAAATTAGATAATTCAGCGAACTAGTGTCAAAAAGCTCTTTATTCCTTCCACAAAAAATGGAATAATCAATAATTCTTCAGAAAACTTAAATTAGTAGAAGGAGTGTGATAAAAAATTATTTCAAATAAAGCATTTCATAATATAAGACTTCTATAATTAAACTTCTTTTACTGAAACCCAGGAAAGAATAATTTAGATATTCAAAATAAAAGTGTCTGGAAGGAATCGAAATCGCCTAATTTTAGGAGGTTGGAATAGGTGGGATCTGCAAGTGAAAAAATTATCAGCATTTTCATAAACAGTTGCCTAAAACTTATCATCCCTAACTCGAAACATTTAAAAAGAATTAAAAAAAAAAGTAGAAAATTGACTTTTAATTGATAATTAACTTCAATGAAAATTAATATTTAAAAACTTCCCGTTTTTACCGAAACCAGATCTGAATATATTTCAAAACTAACATGTTTCATATAGATGGATTTTTTTTTTTTTTTTATTGAATAACTCATTCCCAAATATTGCCTAGTATTAGCCGCTTTGACCTCAATCTCTAACAAGTTATCCTTGACTCGAACGTTCTCGCAAGAACTAATGAATGGTTATAAGAAAGACCAATCTGTGTAAGTTAGACTCCAAACCTTTATTCATTATTAAATATGCAATGTTTGAGAGTTATGACCGAATGAAGATACTAATTAAGAATCTAAGATAGGAAAAATTAAAACTAATGTTTATTGTGGTATAACATCATATTTCAGTAACTTGCACAAGCTATTAGCATGTTACCTTGAACCTGCCGTACCGATTATCTTAATTGATCTACTATCTATAAAGAGTGTTATCTTTAATATATTTATTTGTTTATTGAATTGATTTATCATACCATTAAGATTATTCACTGCCTAAAATAAACTGCCCTAATGGACAGGACAATGAGGGGGGGAGGGAATTAAAATCTTTTCTTGGAGTATTTTTTTAATTTATTTACTGCATACGGCTTTCATATTTGTTTTAGGTCATCCATATCCATATGGTTTTAAGTCACTTTTATGTTGCAGTGTTTTGTCAACCACTGAAGAGACAAGTGGATACAGTTGATGAGTAACATACAGTTCTGGGAAGATTGAATTTCAAGTTTGACGATGGCTCATATTTTTAATAATGCTCATATATGATCTCTAACTGTTGTTTAAACTGTAGAAAAGGTGTCTAATTTTTATGAAAAAAAGTTATGTACCAGGATGGGCCATTTTACTTTCACTTACCTATATATGTAATATATAGAAGTGTAAGTATTGCGATCGTGAAAATTTATGAATCTGAGTTTTCAACGGAAATACATGTTTTGAGGTCCCCTGAGTCTAAATAACCAAGTCTCGAAAAATGGTCTGTGTGTCTGTGTGTATGTGAACACTCTAGCTGAAAACCGATAAGTCATACGAAACTGATATTACATATTTAAGATAGATATATGCCTTAGATGTCCGGGCAACTTTTTCCTTAAAATCGGCTAACTGGAAGTGCCACTATATATCAACGCTGAAACACATTTTTACAATTTTCTCAAAAACGGCTCTAATTATTTTGACTAAACTCGGTGTATCACTGTATAATTAAGTGGTCTTTAATATCATTTAGGTCTTATCCCCGTTGATGTCACTTTACAGGGCTTAAATGCCCAATGTTCATATGAGTCTTCCTCTAAAGTACCTTTAATATCGTTTATTTTAAATAATCAACTATCACACACTATTAAAAATTATGAAAAAATGCTAAATATAACATTTGAAAGAATTTGATAATTGAATAAAGGTGAAAACAATTAAAATGCCTATACAGGTCGAAAATGAATCTCCGGAAATACAAGTCAGAAGGTATACTTATAATATATCGTTGGAAAGCGGAGAATTTTAGATAAAAACAATATCTAATATAGAAAGTTGTAGAAGGTAACGGAGAGTGGCGAAAAAATTATAAATTATAATTTTTGAAAACATATACGTAAATCACATGTTTTCAAGGAAATTAAATGAAATTTACTAAATAAACGTAAACTTTAAAAAATATTTTTACGTTTGTAGAAAGTAAAATATAAAATAATTTCATGGATGTACAAAGCATATGTTCATAACCTTAAATACATTTACTGTAGTTTACTGATTATAGATCTGATGTTATATTTAAATGATTAGGTGTCAAGGTTTATTATGAAAAATTGTCATGTAACTTTTTAGAAAATTAAATTAGTCAATAATTTGATGAATTTTCCCTTTGCGATATTCCAACAGAATCACTTGGATCACTGTGGCAACTTTTGCCTGTCTATGACAAACAATGCAAATCTCGTAATTCCGTTTTTGGAAACTTTGCAATGGAAAATAACAGTTTAATAACTAATATACGTACGAACCATAATCAACGGATAGTACAATCAATAATCAACGAATATTACAATCCATAATCAACCAGTGATAAAATAAATAGGACTTTTGTTACTTCAACAGTATTTATGATTTGTTAGCTGCAATCTTTTAGCTTTAGTTCAGTTAAAAATGCAATTCAAAAATTTTATAATAGCCCAACATGGCCAGAAAATAATTTTTATTCCAAGTTGAGCGGTAAGTGAAAGTGATGTGTTGCGCGAACCAGATTTTTTAAGTAGTAATTATAAGGAGAGTCCACAGTCAGTGTTTCACCGATTTCAACAAATTTATTTTCGGTGAATTTACATCGAAAAATATTAAACACATATCCAGGCGTTCAATCAAATGGGTCCTAAGATCTGAGAAACAAAAAAAATTGTATAAAATCAAACAAAATTTAGATTATTTATTTTTGCCTTCGGTATGCTCGGATTCTTAGATTATTATATATCGATCGATTTCTTTTTTTTTGATCAGAATAAGAAAAAATATCGACTATGGTATTGAATATGTTGTAATGGGTCATAATTTACAAAAACTAAAATGCGCTTCCAGCAAAATAGGCCAAGTAAATTTTTGTCAAGAAAAAGCAAGTTTCATTTCTAGAGTCCTTAAAGATAGGATTCTTTATTCTTTATTATTAAAGGTAGGATAGATTCCTTCTTAAATAGGAATTTTATAGAAATCAAAAATTGCAAACCCAATAGTCATTATTTTTTTCTTATCCTGCACAAAAAAAAAAAAATCGATTGATTAATATAACCTAAAAATTCGGGAAAAGCAAAGGCAAAAATATATAATACAAATTTTGTTTGAAATTATATATAAGATATTTTTTTTTTCTTGACTCCTAGGGTCAATTTTAACGAACGCCGGGACATATGTCTAGCATTTTTCTTTGTAGTATCACAGACAAAAAAATCTCCTTGTTAGTGCTGATATAATTTGTTCTTTTTCGTCATAGAAATTAGGAAGAAAAGTATAGAAACAAAAATACTGAAAGAAAATGCGAAGGAAAAGATTCAATTTTTGTGGCTCGAAATCGATACTGGGATATTAGCTCACTACCACGTATTTTATTTTATTTTTATTTACTTTTAGGCTGATTTGCTCTGCTTTTTTTCACAGTTTTTTTTTTTCGAATCTATCTATGTCCACTTGATAGTGATATAGGCAATAGATATTTATAGTTGATGTGGTAAATAACCTTATACAATATATTTTCATTTTTACAATTTATTATGTATAAAAAATTAGTCTACATTAATTCAGAAGATCCGACATGCTATAAAACATTCCGTTTTTCAGAAATCCTGCCAAAATTGAAAGTTTCCCTAGAATAACCTTATGTCACAAATTCCGAGGTAGAGAGTAATCGAAAAAAAGTTTATTTTGATAATTGTTTGATTGCTCTATTTCACAGGTCACTCAAACAAAAAATATAAAAAGTTTATAATTGAATTTTGCCATCAGTTTTGCTAAAATCATTGGTATTTGGAGAACACACGATTTTACGCCAAATAATTTTTTTTTTAAAACTGGAGGCGACTCACTCTTAGCTTATTCTGTAACAGGTCTCAACTTGATTTTTAATATAAATTCAAATGATACCATCATATTGTAATTGCTTTTGTTCTTCGCCTAAAAAAAACATATTGTAAATTATTTGTGCTAGAGATACTTTTTTTTCAGGTGAAGTTCTTATACTAGAGCATCATACCTATATTAATACAATATTATATTTCCATAATAAATTAAGCTAAGTTTTTATCGGACGATTCTTGAAAAGCTATTGATTTTCTTCAATTTGTTGAGCACTTCTCCAGTACTATTTCATGTAGATGATAAAAAGGACTTTAAAGATAGCACTGAAGTATGTGGATGGGCTTATAATAATCTATAACCCAAACTGCTTGATGGATTTGAGTTTATACATAGTCTCTGAATATTAATGGGACGGAGTATGCACTTCCTCCATCTTCAAGCGGTGACGCACTCTCCTTCTGATAAATCACTTTTTCAGATATGCACAATCATCTCTATACTGGATTAAATACATAGTATACAGGTAATCAATCGAATCATATGCATATCATTATTTTTTATTTTAATGAAATAAGGTTTATCAGCTTAGTTAAGATGAACAATAGGACATGGACCTCAAGTGAAGCTGAAGCATCAACATTCCGATGCTATGACCCACATACAAATACGAACTTGCCTTCTAAGAACATCGTTTGTTTTATAAGGATGTCATTTCATTCCTCCTTTATTGCTATTGTTTCGGAATAATAGTTTTGTACTGGCTCGTTCCTATTCAAGAAAAAAAAATATAAATATATATATATATATATATATATATATATATATATATATATATATATATATATATATATATATATATATATATATATTGTTAATTATAATGGGAACTGCCCATTATTTTAATTCATATGTAGTTGTAGACTAATCGTACAGTTTATAATGTACAAAGAATCTTCTAAGCAAAGTAAAAAAACAATACAAGAAGTTACATTTTAATACGGTTTGGGAAAAGAATTCTAGAACTGATTAATTGTTCATATTTTTTACATATTGAGTAGTCAAACAAATATATCACCAATTTATTGTAAAAGGTCACTAAGTATCGCTTTGGATAATTAAATTACAAGGTACTTTGACAAATTTTTCCTCTGTGGAATCAAAGCGCTGTGCACTTTTTGTACATTTTTTTATATGTACGTACCCTCCCTCTCCCATCCGATATTTCGAAGAATATGGGAAAACTTCGAAATATAAGGGAAAACTTAGAAGGTTAAGGGAAAAGAATAACAGGAAAACTCACCGAATAATTTGAGCCATCAAACATAGAAATCGATCCAGCCGTTTGCACAAACAGCGTTACCTAGATTTTAGCTAACGGCCCGAACACATAACCCTCATGTCACTTCGCTTAGTCAGGTAAAAATGCCATTCCTCCTTCTGGCATCTGTTTCAACATTTCGTATGTGATATTATCACAGTATTACAATGCCGGGAGCAGATGTTTTCTTGCATTTCGACAAAGCCTATATCAATTCTTCAAGTTCAAAAAAGGACCATTGAAAAATTTCCTTTTCTCAAGTTCATTTTTTAATTGGATTTCATCATTTGAATACAGAACAGTTGCATTCTTATGGCCGACATTGCAGGAAGATACCTAATGGAAATAAATCGCCAAATGTGTAGTAATTTTTGAAAGGTCTTTAATGACTGTCTCTCCAATCTGTAAGATTGGAGGAGGGCGGTTAGTTAGAATTCCACGGATGCTTTTTACTTTGTTCCACAATTTAGTCAGTATGGTATTGCTGTTAAAAGATGTAATAAATTCCTTCAATGATCTCTTTTTGTTATCTTTGATTATTCTGTTGGCAATAAGATCTTAGTATTTTCAATTCTATTGCATCATATAAATGCCCTGTTTTTCTGTATCTTAATTCGATTTTGAAAAAAAGTTCGTTCTTCAATGTGTTTTAATCCTCTCCAATTTCTATTAAGTTTAAGAAGTATGAAAAAAGCTTTTTTTGAATAAAATGTTTCAATATTTACATTATACGATATAAAATTCAAAAATAAACTTTAAAGCAGAAAAGATTAAAACGTTAAAATTTCCACACAAAAAAAGAAAAATTAAATTTTATTATTTAGTTGTGTTTTTTGAAGAAATGAAATAATTTTTTTTTGCCATTTTAGTGGTGTATTCAAAAAGTTCAGCGATATTATTTTCTTCTTATTTCTTCCGTTGTACTTCAAGGCACAACACAGTATATGCATCACGGTTACATTTACCCCGCAGGCACTGAGGGGGTGTACCCTTTGTCATTAGGAATTCATATATTTTATGAGCGATATTATGCTATTATAAGATAGATTTCTTAACATACTGTAACTAATTCGGTTCGGTCTTGGGTAGCATTCTTATTTTTGCTACACGCAATTCGATACATAAATTAAAACAAAATAAATTATACAGCATAGTACCGCGAAACTTCATGCAATAATCTAAGCAATCCATTTCTGTATGTCAATAACTCTAAATACATTAGTTTTAATTACCGGCTCTTTGAGTTCATTAAGAGGTTTAAACGACATGTACTCAAAACATTCCTTTATTCTAAAAATTCTCAAATACCTCCATATTCTCTAAAATTTGGAAAAATCTGTATTCTTTATATGGATTCCATATAACTGGGAATAGTTGGTAACGAGCTTGCAGATATAGCCGCCAAACAAACACTCACGCTCCCAGGTCGAGGTACTGCTATCTTGACTCCTCCAGAAATCAGTTTTCCTCTCAAAAAGAAAATATCGGATTGTGGCAGTCTATTTGGATCGAGAGCCCACCAAGAAAATTAAAAGTCATCAAACAATCAATAAAGACCTGGACCGTCCAGACGGTCGATTCCGTATTGATCTAAACGTCGCAAGACTTCGCAGAGGTGAGTTTCGTGCTGGTCCTCATTTTCAGACGCGAATAAGAAGTCGTCCAGAAATTTATATAGATAATTGAGATCGCGGAATTTGTCATCCAAAAATCGTTGGAAGCTTTGTGGGCAAGACCATACTTAGTGCGGACTTTCTATACTGGCATAATCTTAAAGTAGACCTGAAGAATCGACGGTCCATCGACCAGACTACAGGACAGTGCACCAGGCAGTATTTCAACACTAGAAATCCCTGTTTACTCAGTAGCGCCTAGTGATCAGAGGTTTTCAAAAGTTTTTAATGAGTTTCCAACCATCACTAAAATCACACCGATTCGTGGACCATCAAACAGAGGTCTCGAGTACTATATCGAAACTAAAGGTCGGCCAGTGACAGCAAAATGCCGACGCCTACCTCCCGGCATCTACCAGGACGTCAAGAAGGAGATTCAGAACCTGATAAATGAAAGTATTTGTCGCCCTTCAAAATGTCCATGGTCAAGCCCACTCCACGTGGTGAAGAAAACGGATGGAAGATTAAGATTGTGTTGAGACTACAGAGCTCTCAATAAAAAAAAACAACCCCGGACCAGTGCAGCATTCCAAATTTCAGAGACTTCACTACGGAATTAAGCGGCAAACAGATTTTTCAAAGATAGATATTCGCAGAGCTTATTATCATAGACAGCAATCATAACCCCGTTCTGACTCTTAGAGTACAATCGAATGAATTCCGGATTGAGAAGTGCTGGACAAAGCTTCCAATTTTTTGTGATTTCGCCCAGCTATGATGATTTCGTCGCCCTATCTCTGGTTCAGGAGAATGATGAAGCAATAAATGAACTTAAAATTCAGGACAATCTTTCATTTAAACAATTGGAAATTTCTGGATCGGATAAGTCTCTCCTTTGCGAAATAACAACAGGCAAGGCAAGACCTTATCTCCTTCTTGAGTTTCGACAGGGAGTATTTAATAAAATCCACAACCTAAGCCTCCCAGGGATAAGGTCAACAAGAAAATTGGTGTCGCAGAGATTCTTCTGGCCAAATATGAACATGAACGTCAAAGAGTGGGTCAAGAGTTACATTTACTGCCAATAATCATAAATCCATAGGCACACGAAAACACCATTAGGACAGTTAGGACCGGCCAAGGCCGTCAGTTCGAATCAAATCTCTTCAGACAGCTCACGGGATTCTGCGATACAGGACGACAGCATATCACCCGCAATCCAAGGCATATCAACGCTCATATAAATAGCGCGCAGTGGACAAAAATATTGCCATCAGTCTTACTGGATCTTTGCGCAAGTCCTCGGGACGACACAGAAGCTCTTTACGGATGTCCTATTCGTCTGCCTGGAGAATTCACCGAACCAAACAACAACAGTTATGAACCACGCGCTGCATTTCAGAAACTGAAGAACAGAATAGAAATTGTTTTCTGGAAAGGTTGGGCTATTACAAAGTTTTTAAAGTGCATTTTTAACGGAGCTTCAAGCTTTCAGCTATAATTCATTAAGACTTTCAAATATTCAAGCCGTTTCTTTCAAGCCCTTTCAGTTGTGTGGGTGGAAGATAGTCAGGATGCAGTCAGTTTTTAAAGATTTTTATTGATAACTTTTCAACCCAAGCTTGTGGGGTGTGCTGGGCATGTCACCAGCACTGAAGATGTTCAACTAATTGCTGGTCACCTTAGTACTTGACAGTTTATATTTCATTTATTTATTTATTTGATCTGTATTCGTTTTAAGGTAAGAACCCTATACAAATAGAGTCTGTCACAATATAACGAACATTATTATTCTTATGGAATTACAAATTCACTCCTTTTTATACTACATGACAGATATTACAACACTCTTAAGGATAAATTAAAAATCATACTCGGTAAAAATCAGACAGTTAAAACAGTTCCAATTATCAAATTAATATAAAATCGAAAATTGTCAACATACTATAACAATAAATACCTTATTTTTTTAAAATATTAATATTAAACTATTTAATTAATTATTTTATTTAATTAATCAAATATTTAATTAATTTTAAAATTGAATTAAATATTATTAAATTAAATTAAAAGACCCCTATACCTAAGAGAAAATCCAAGAAAAAAGACCCAGACAGATTACATATTATGGATTGTATGCATATTGATATACAATATGGAATTTTTGCCATAATATGCAGAGGGCAATATTCCAGATCACCCTGCCAATAATATTTGAGATAAAAAACAAATAATTTTCTCATATTTCTATCCCATTAAGATTTCCCAAACCCTAGTAAATTTAGTGTTGCACACTTTGCACTCAAGTTGTGAAGTAATTTTCACAATTTTATTATTAACAGAAATCTTGATCATACATTTTCCCGAGAGGCGGATCTGCATTAATAGTTTCGAATATTTGAAATTAGTCGGCATCAAAAATACTGGGGGCTCTGATCATTACTAAGAAAAAGGTTTAAATGTTCACTATAATATGAGCTATGCAATGTTATCGAGTCACCATCTTGCAATTATTTTTTTTATATTTATTCAATATCCAGTTAATATTTGTTCTAATTATGGTTAAGTCGGTTTCATAAACTAGATTGCCCTCTCCAATAGTATCTAACAATACTTTTAGCTGAGAACAACAAGTATATTTCGATAGAGCAGGATTAGCTAAGTAACATTTCTTAGCTTTTTCATCAATACAAAATACATAGTTAGCCGAAACATCCACCCTGATAACGTGATCAGCGTGGACTCTAAGTCATTCCCTAAAGTAGACAGATTCAAATACCTCGGCTCCACAATAACCTCAATAAATGATCAACTTTCAGAGATAGACCTGTGAATAACTAGTGCGAACAGATCTTTCTTCTCTCTTTCAAGGGTACTAAAATCCCGAAAAATCTCCAGAAATCTAAAAATAAAGAGTGTACAACGCCGTTATTAAGCCTGTTCTGCTATATGGTTGTGAAACCTGAGCTCTAACCGGCACATTAGAAGCCAGAATTGAGAGATTTGAAAGAAAAGTTCTACATAGGATAACAGGACCTATATGGACCAGAACTTTGACACATGGAGGAGAAGGAACAATAAAGAACTGCTGAAACAAAAAGGTCAACCAATATCTCATGACATGAAGGCAAGGTTTAGATGGGCAGGGCATGTAGCTCGTAGTAATCCATCAGGTCGCCTTCACACAACAATGAATGCCAGAGTAGTAAGCAAGAGACCACGTGGGAGGCCAAAAACCAGATGGATAGAAAGGAGAAACAAAGACACGGCTGAGCTTCATGCCGCAAACTGTAAAGCAGTAGCCCAAGATAGACAGAGGTGGAGAAGGCTGGTTCAGGCAGCCAAAGATCTACAAGATCTGTCAACCGACCAAAAAAAAAATATATATACATACAAAATATAAAGTCTATTATTATTCCGTAAGAAGTATGGTAAAATAAATATTTGTAATTGATAATCAATACAAAGTACATTTTTATGACAATTATTAAAGATATTTGTATTATTGAGTACAAATTAAGATATCATTAAAGATATATATATTTTTGTTTATAGCTTCTGCCCTAAAGATTCGAATTATAAATGTTATTGTATTGTATTTTTTTATATATTTTATAATGGTGTACTAATAAAATACTATTCTAGTTTATATTATTTATTGGACCGCAACCCCGACCAACTCCTTCTCATATATATTTAATATATTTATATCATAAATCATTACCTTTCTCATTATCTTGTTACCTTCATTATAGTCGCTATCACTATATGTAGTAATGTAATCAGTATTTATTACTAGATTATATAAAAGCATGCGTTTCAAGACGTACTTCTCGTGTTCAAAATTAATTTATCACCAAATTAAATTAAATAATCCAGGTTTAAACAAGGAACCAAAATGTACTTTTTTTTTTTTTCTTGTGGGAATTTTCTCATTTTACGTCATATTCGCGTTCTTTTACTTTGAAAACATGAGGATGCTAAATATCAAGTTAATCCGACATCGTTTACAAGTTCTATGTTCATGTCCACGAAAATCCGTATTTCGTGCTACTGTGCGGCCTTGGGTATGAACGATTCACGAGTTGTAAGGTAATCTTAAATCAATTACAAAAACGTTTATGTAGATAGATAACGAAATTTCTCGTTTAAAAAAGTAACTTTACTTTGTGATAAATTAATCATATATCTTTGAAAACATTTACGTATCCTATACTAAGAGCACCGATTCAATGAGGTCATATTTTGAAGGACAGAACTGACTAAGCAGAAATGCAAGTAGGAAGAATGATAACAATTCTTTTGTGTATGGGTAGTCTTCGGAAAGTTTGAATATTATTGTTCTAAATTATTTTCATATTGGCGTTACGATGAAAAAACAATATAAAATAAAGCAATTCGGAAGATTTTTTTTTCATATACATATAACGATAATTAATTAGAAAAAAAGAAAGAAATTAACTACCTATATGAAATGATGTTTATTTGGTTCTTGAAGTCCTATTAAATGTAATTACACGAACAAGAATACTTTAAGAGATAGATTTTAATATTTTTTTCTGTGAAACATCGTTATATTTTACCATTTTGGGGGGGCTTCAGCCCGAAAGCCCCCTCCCCCGTAGATCCGCCTGTGGTCGTATTCATAGTTTTTTGTAATTGAAATTATTAATACTTTTATATTAGTAATATTCATGTATATAAATTAAAGATTGCAAATAAGGTTTAACGGAATTCTGGTGATTTTTATTCCTTTTAACTGTTTATAAGTTATCTAGCATATTCAGCACTTTCAATGGTTATTTGTTCTACTCTATTGTTAAATATTATTAATACTCTGTTAGGGAAACTTTTCGATATTCAAATTTATAATTAATTATTTTCGTAATAGATGTGAAAATCTTTTAATTTTAGCGGCATTAAAATTATTCTTCAATTATAAACCCTCGTGTATTTTTGCTCTACATGTCCTCTGTTAACTGAACATGAGTCTGCAAAATTTGTAGCCCACAATAGCTCTTTTGATTCTTATTTAATGGCTTTTATTCTGTGAAGTAATACATGCAACCGCATGGCATAACTGTTGTATGGACCATTTTTTAATACTCTTCATAGATAAATTTTGATATCACATCGACCATTTATCGGAGCAATATCAACTTTCTCTTATATTGCTCTTTAGATTACTTACAAAAGTCTTGCTCTATATCTTTTTCAAAATCACCAGAATGCTGGACACAGTTTTTCTGCTCCCAAAATAAAATCAAAGCCTTCATCATATCCTTGCGACGCATCCTTTCCTATACGAAAACATTGTAGAATACTTTGGAATCAATTTTAAACTGAATAGTAACATTAAAACCGATGGAAAATAGAACCGATGAAATTCCAAAGCTTAAATATAAGACTAAGGAGTTGTATGCTCACTTCTCCAATAAATAAAAAAAATACGACTTAATGATGTAGACTGAATACACCGTGCCGTAAATAGGAGATAGCGGTAAGGTAGTATATGCCACGGACCTCCGAACAAAATGGTGCTTCAAACTGGGGATGAAGAATGTTTTAATTATTTTAAAAATGCATATCCTTTTCAACAAAACATCATGAATCAAAAGGAATGATCCTTGAAGAAATGCTAAAAGAAAGAAATTAGTAGAAGAACAATGCTTTTAGAAATCTTTAATTCTTTTTTCAGAATTAGCGTAATAATTTACAAATAGAAAATAGTGTGATATCACAAAAACAAACATGGAACAATAAAAAAGAAACGATCTTTAATGGATCAACCCTCCAACGGATTGAAAGCTAACGGACAATCCTTATATTATGCTCTAGTATTCATGGAATTATATTCTATTCCTCAGAAAGGCTAGTCTTATTAGTTTAGTTTTAGATTGTGCTAGTTTTCAGAAATTTATTTTAAATTAAATTATTTTTTATTTCAGTGTTTTAGTATTGAAAGTATGGACAATTTATATTTATCATACATGAAAACTGTTAAATACATACTAACAAACAGATTAAGCACATTTTCTCAGTATTTTGTAATCAAATTGTTTCAAACATTCACTAGGTCTCATTGCATAGTTGAATTTGTCTTGAAAATCACTAGAGCCATTGGCTGGAAAAAAAGTTACAAACGTACAGACAGTACCGGCCTTACACATTCGGCGCCCCTAGGCAATGACTTCATCTCCCCTTCCCAAAAAAAATAATTATTTTTTAAGCTGTTTTATATTTGAATTGTATTGCATTCCAACACAGTTGCTTTATTGATAGAATAAAATTAATTATTTTAATAAGTTTTGTAACTATATTTTATTTGTTAAAAGTGGCGAGTGCCTCTGAAGACCGCTCGACTCCATTGGGCGCCCCTCTAGGTCGGCGCCCCAGAGCAATTGCCCCAGCTGCTCCACCCTGTCTGGCCGGCACTGCGGCGTTCTTGCTTGTTCCTAGAGCTTGATCTAGTAATTATTAAAATAAAATAGAGAACATTGTGAAGTCTATTACATTCTGTGTGATACATCTAAATATACGACTATCATACATGTTTAAATCTCCAAAGCCACCTCAACTTGATTGACCACTGGTGTAATAACTGGCGCATTAAAGTTAATGAATCTAAATGCCACCATATTACCTTTACACTCCGACGCAATTCCTGTCCACCAGTACTCTTTAATTCCATCCAACTTCTTTACTCAGACACAGCCCGGTATCTTGGCTTTCATTTAGACCGGAGACTAACATGGAACCCACATTCTAGGCTCAAAAGACAAGAACTCAACCGGCGATACGGCCAACTATGCCGACTACTAAACAGAAAATCTAAACTTTCCATTGAAAACAAGCTACTGATCTACAAGACAATACTGAAACCTATTTGGATTTACGGACTAGAACTGTGGGGATCAGCTAAATTTTCTAACCTCAAGCGCATCCAATTCTTTCAGTCAAAAGTCCTTCGAACAATAGTAGATGCTCCTTTCTATGTAACCAACAAAACCCTAAATCATGACCTCAACATCCCATTCGTCCTAGACCTTATCCCAGAAAAATTCTCCAAATTTCACCAGAACCTTACGTACCACCCAAATCCTCTTGCACAATCCCTATCAAGCACCTCCCATCCCTATAATTCTCCAAGAAGGTTAAAACGGCAGTGGCCTCGCGACCTTTTGTAGATTGTATATATCGGAGTTCTGGCACTGGTCAGATTCTTCACTCAAGACATAAGTGTATGTGGCTAAAGTGGTCTCGATCAATCTCCGCTGGCTTTAGTACCAGTGACGCGGTTGAGAGAATAGCGCAGGGTTCTCCTGGAGTTCCCTCGCCTGATTGTATATAGGTATGCATGTGTTTTTTTTGCTTAGTTTTAATTTTCTTATTTTTTAGGTTATTTTATTTTATTATCTATTGCATATACTTTTGATTATTATTTTGTTCCTATTTATTTTATTTATTTTTTGTACATATAGTGTGAATGTCATCCTACCTCACTATAACCAATGTCCAAGAGACAGATTGTTGTATTACTCAATAAAGAAATTAAAAAAAAAAAAAAAATCATACTTGTTTAAGTATATGATAGTTTTGCATGACGTTCCTTCATCTTGGGTATGAATTTAGTTTAGGGGCCACAAAACTTGGCTGTTATAGGTCTCCAAAATATTACTTATGCCGCATGATAGAACACGAAATTAATTTAGAAAGGTTTGCAAAAGAATTAAATAACTTACTTTCTGGTGGACACATCGTTAGTAATGTCAGGGGATACAAATATTTACTTATTTCAAAATCGATTATTTATATATACAAATATATAACAGTACGAAACCTTCCTATAGGCACATGTACAGTTACCTTCACACTTGCCAAGTTTTTAGTTATGAATGTTTATAAATTTTATGATATGACATGATTATATTCTCGTTCTTAAACAAAATGCTTAATATGACAAAAAATAATAGTGTATCACCGGAATGACTTTTGTGTTAAATAAACAGTTATGTAGTTCTAGATTTCAACCTTCCTTCAGTTTGTTGAAGGCAAGGTTTTCTAAACAATCCAAACTAAACGAATTGCTATTAAACATGCCGAGAGATAACACCCAAACTCAGATTCTTAAAAAGCAAAGAGTAAAAATGAAAGAAAAAAGCAGTAAGTATTCTCCAGGAATAGTAAATTTACAAATTTTGGGCAGTGGTGCAAAAGGAGCTCCAACAGCTTTGTATTTATTTACTGATCAATCAAGGTATGTATCAATATAAGAAATCTTGTTAGAATTCTGTAACATTTTTATTAATTTAAAGACTGCTATTTATGGTTTACAGGTATTTATTCAACTGTGGTGAAGGGTCTCAAAGACTTGCTCATGAACATAAAATTAAACTTTCCAAATTGGAGCACATTTTTGTAACTTATGGTTCTTGGAAAAATATTGGAGGTTTACCTGGAGTGGCACTTACTCTTCAAGATGTTGGTGTTCCTCAGCTTGTTCTTCATGGCCCCGAAAACATTGTATGTCTTTCAATTATATTTAATAATTTGATTTCTTTATTAGTATTATCGAATTTTCAATATAGAACACATTAATTGGAATAATTATACTCTAACCAGCTTCACCAATAATTTTGGTTAATCTTCACAATATTTTTGAAATTCCATTCTTATGTGTGTTTTTTAAGACTTGATATATTGTAATTTGAAGCTGTCAATCTGCTAGGTCATGGTTCTTGTTCACAAGAGCTCTGCATGGATTAAGCCTAGTTCACAATCACTTTAGTCACACTTGTTTATGGAGTGCTGAAATTACCCAGGTTTATCCGAAAGAGTAGACTGATTTCTTGAGTTAGTGAAAAATAACTTTTCTGCCATTTAAGTAGTTATGTGTATACCATGTACAATTTCTTTTATTCATCATAGCCATGTGCAATTATACAGCTTGAATGGATTAATACTTGACATTTACATTACATCATTTCCTTAATTGAGCTTATAAATGTATTATACTTTTGTAGACATAAAATAGTAATAGATGAAAGAATTTATTTATTTTTTGTTTGCCTCTACCCGTTAGGATCATTGGCAATCCTCTATTCACTCACTTCTCATATTCTATTGTAGAATCCAATTATTTTCAAGCAATCCAGTAAGATTTCCACTTCTCCCCCTCATCCTGCAACACGTCCCGTATAGTCTCATGTTTGTTAAGGTTCTTCCGTATATCAGCACAATGAGCACATTCCACGACTATGTGGTTCACAGTTCTAAGGGAACCATACCTGATGAAGATAGGTGATTCTCAGGTGTGGAGAAGGTAGCCATGCGAAAATAAAGTGACCAATTCTGAGGCAGCACAAGATTATTTCCTCTCTTCTTTGATCTCCTGTTACTCCTCGTACACCATATAGCACTATTTGGTTTAACCTAAGCAAGTTTTGAGGGGTTCCTTCTCCAGGTCTCATTCCATTGAGCTATTATCTGACGTTTCGCTTACCTTATCCAGTCCTCCCGAGGAACATAATCAATAGATTTTACCTCATTCTTAACATGCACACGAGCCATTATATCTCTGAATGCTATTTCTTGATATATATTTTTTCATATTGATAATTTCTATTATTCAGTATCATGGCATTTTCCGACATTATTTGTCAGCTGTAATCATCACCACACTTATTCCTTCCTTGGAAATAAATATAAAAATATAAGCACACTTTTTTTTTTTTTTTTTTACTGTTGATGGAAAGGAAGTTGCACTGAAGAAGTATAATAATGGGGACACAGTTTTTAAAAAATGTGTGAAATAGTGTTGAGTGATATCCATAATAAATTTTTATCTAGATGACAATGAATAAATTTTTATCAGTTATTTGATGGCTTTTAACAAATAATTTGTTATTTACAGATTATCTTAATTATCTATTAATCAATATTTAAAATAAATTTTTTTTGTGATTTATTTGTTTATGGTTTATTCTTTTATTTATTTTTTTAGTAAAATGTTGATTTTAGGATTCCATGTTTCCGGCTACTAGAAGATTTGTTATTTTGAAAAATTTGTCAATTAAAACAGCAAGTTGTACTCCTAAAGATGTTTATGAAGACAATGCTATAACTGTAAATTATATCCCACTGACTGTAACAAAAAATAGAAGACCTGTTTCTGCCACAGAACCTGAAGCGTAAATAGAGTATTTTAATTTAAATCATAGTTAGCTATGATTGATTGATATGTTTTAATAGTTAATGTTCTTACTTACAGAATTGATGAAATGAATGATGAAGATGAAATTGATTATTATGAACATGAAAAAAAATCGGATAAGAAGAAAAGAAGGAGTTCATCTGCAGAACCTGGTTTGTATTTTATTGAAGTTTATTCTTATTTTTATATGTCAAATGTGGTCTTGTAACATTAGTTGTGTGGTAATGACCATTGTTTGCATAATATTTTTTTGTTTTTATTCACATAATGAAACAGAAAAAATACATAATAAAATATCTCTGCCCTACCTTTCCATAGTTTGTAGTATTGTTTTCTATTTTCTGATAGTTTTAGTTGGCTCTATTATTGTTCTGTTAAAAGTAAAATTAAGTAATGAATACAAATTCCACACAGCTTTTCTAGATTGTATGATAAATCTACCTTAAATTAACGTTTACTGTTGTTTCCAGAACCCTACAATTAGATCATTTCAGTTGCATTCATTCAATGTCTAGCTTTCTCCTTAACATCATTAATTTAATAATTATTGTATTACATTATTTTTTTTTTAATTTAATTAAGTTTTATTAATTTCTTTTGTTGTGAGCAGACCGTGTTAGTTTTTATTATGGCTTTAGTTATCCAAAGGTGTTGACTTTCAAACCTGAAATAAGAGATCTTGTCGATAAAGATAAAACAGATAGCAACACTGTTTATTTAATTTTAAGTAAATATAATTATTTACATTAAAAAAAGTATTTAGTATATGTATCTGTGGAATAGGTTGGACTTAAATTAAGTACCACATAAAATTTGTTTTGTTTTTGCTTTAGAAATTATTTGGAAGAAATATTCCTAGTGGTAGAAAGTATTTTTATTTATTACAGATTTATAATTTTGCTTTTGTTTTCTTTCAAACTTTATTCTTGAACTAGATCCCTTAAGAATTACAATCATGTACCATTATTGATAGCAAAAATACAAGAATAAAATATTGATATTAAGCCTATAACTTCCTTAGTTGTACTTTTAATTTTTATAGGTCCAAAAAAGTTATCTGAAGAAGATGTGGTGATGTGTTATGCTGTTAAGTTGCAGCCAAAACCTGGAGCTCTGTGCTTAGAGAAGTGTGTTGAGGCTGGAGTTCCTCCTGGTCCTCTCTTAGGGAAATTAAAAGCTGGTGAAGATGTTGTACTGAATAATGGAACTGTAGTGCGTTCGACTGATGTTACTTTAGCCCATGATCCAGGTCCATTATTTTTAGGTAATTAATTTTTTGTGTATGTGTGTAAAAGTAATTTTATTTCTTCTCAAGGAATGCAGAGTCTCTACTCCACTATTACTGAATATGTATCTCTATGTATTCTGTACGTTTGTTACAACTATCATTACTCGTTGTAAAATCTCCCTTATTCTTAGTATTGCATTGACTGTAATTTATCAGTTAGTCTAATTACAATTAATAAGTATAGTCTAAACAATTCAACTAATCAAACTCTAATAGATGAAGAAAGCTAATATCAGTTTAAAGTGCCCGGGACTATTCTGTCAATTAACATGTAAAGGTTGCTCTGTTCAAACCTGATGTCATGTATATAAATATTTACCAAAAATTTCCTTAACAGTATTGTCATTTTTATTTGAAATGTAAGTGAATCTATTCAATAAATAATTGAAAATCAACCAATGAAAGTTTTTTATTTTTAATAAAATTTTGTATTTACTTTTTACCACTTTCATTTACCTATATATTTCTGGCATTTTAGGCTACATTGGTGTTTTTCCTGGGCTGGGGAATTATACCAATTTAAAAGTCCCACTGGGCACTGGGATTTGAATTCGTAATTACTTTTCTATTTTAAACTTCGGTTAACTATCAGGGTGCTGTGCACACGCGTTAGCCCACTCAGCTATCCTGCCCTCTCTACTTTCCTATATATGAAATATATAGTAAGAGAAAGTATAGTGTTGGTGAAAATTTTCGAATCCAAGTTTTCAATGTTAATAGATGTTTCAAGATCCCCGCAATCTAAAAACAAAGTTTTGCATAATGGTCTGTGTGTAGGTAAATAGTGCAGCTCAAAAACGAAACTGAAATTTCTTGTCTAAGGTTTGTATATGGCTGGGACCTTTTACAGCAATATGTTTGTCAAAATTGGCTAACCAGAAGTGCCACTTTGTATCATCGATTTTACAAATGTTTGCAATGTTCTCGAAAACGGCTCTAACAATTTTGATTAATTCATATCAGTATAGAAGTAAGCAGTTTTTAATGTAACGTAGCTCTTATTCTCATTGATGTTCTCTAAGAGGAGTAAATACTTAATTTTCAAAAAAATTTCCCTCGAAAGAATCTTAATATTTTTTATTGTAGCTTGTATAGGTACGCTTGGATGAAAGGTTAGGATAGGCTTCCATATGCAACACATGCTTCATAAATTACGGGCGAATGAAACGATTTCCATAAATCTTAGCGTTTGTATTATTTGATATTTAATTGTGTAGATTAAAGTATTGTAAAAATTAAAATTGTATATACCAATGCTTAAACAAATATAAATGCCCAGAATGAATAATACATAAATATAGCAGTCTTATTTATCAGTGCCACTCTTGTTGGACTAGAAATATTTTGTGGCACTTAATTATTTATTATAATCACATAAATAATTAAAATATATTGTTGTTAATGGAAATAGCAATAATGCTAATAATAATAATCAAAAATAGACAAAAAACGCATAAATATAATACATTAGACAGTTGAGAAAAAAATACTGCTACCGTTAATGCAAAATGTCATATGTAACAATTTTACATGTTTATTCTCTTGGTGTGGGGTGACATTTTGTAATCTGCAACTGCTATAAATAGTTTGCTAAACAGAAAAAAACAGAGGAAAATAAAATATAAAATTATACTTATAACCCAGTAAATTTAGGATTTGATATCAATAAAATTTATAATTGGCTGTAAATGTGAGAATTAGTTCCTTATCGAATGTAGAACAAACCATAAAAAGTCCCTTAAAATCCCATTTCCGCTTCCATCCCAAATGGAGGGTCAAAGATGGCCCTTGTCAAACCCCTACCACTTTCTGTATTATTTTATGATATGGGGGGGGGGGTGGGGTAGTTAACTGTAAATATAGAGCATATAGTCCCCCATTACAACAGAATATATAAAAGATATACTATTTGTTTATACATTCTAGTTACGTTATAATAATAACAAAAATTAGCCGTATTTAAAGAACTAAATAGATATAAAGAGCCTAAGTTGAGTGCGTTTGATAATATGACTGAAATTGTCTTCAATACCTTGCGCTTTAACATCCACTTACCTTCTCACTTATGAACCTATCTCCATGAGGTTTATAAGAAATTTAATACTCTTTCAAAATGATTATAATAAGTTTCTTGGAGAGCTGCATAGATTATCAATGTTGGGGAAAAACCAATGAAAACAGCTTTTTCTTGTGAAATGAGCAGTCAACTTGCTCTAACTGCTCACTTGTTGATCCTACAATAAAAAACCATGTTAAATCATTAAAAGATTTAATATTTTTTAACTTTGTATAGAATAATGTTGATAAAATGCATAGTTTCGGAATCATATCCAAAAAACTAAAAGGTGCAGAAATTTCACTGTTTTTTTTGCATATATTTCGGAAAGTAATGGAAAATTTCACTTGAGAACTTTAAATTCAGAACCAGCATCCCAAAAAACATTAAAAAATCGAAGAGAAATCGGAAATTGATATTTCATTTTTTCCCGCACCCAACTTCCATTTGACTGGACTATTTGGATGACTTTGACGTCGTTAGCTTTCAAAATGAAATCGATAACATCATCAGTTGAAGCGTGACTTCTGTTTTAGGGACGCATTCTTTACAACATATAAAAATTTCAGACGTCAGTTCTTCTAAATAAAACATCAAATTTCACCACTTTAATTTAAATTTTTGTATAGAAAGCAATGATTTTTAACTGACAAACCGAAGTTGTGAGCTCAGATGAGGTTTATCTACTATTACAAATCGTAGCTCCTAGTCTATAACAAATCATAGCTCCTAGTCTATAACAAATCGTAGCTCTTAGTCTATAACAAGCTATTGAGTTCGAATAATCCGCGATGGAATTCACCTTTGCGATCGCGTCTTTTTTATTAAAAAATACCATATCTCAATCATTTTTAAGCAAATATTAAAAAAACAATTTTTTGAACATTGCGCTGACTAAGGACTACAAAAAATATCAGAAACATAATTTTCTATTTGTCAATAGTTTCAAAGTTATGAGAGGTGACAGAACTGAAATCAAGAAAATTTCTTTTTATTGATCCCCAATAGACCACTTTACAGCTGGTTTATCATTTTTTATCATGTGAACTTCGATAAAATCCAAAACAAGCATCCTGGACGATTATATTGGTACTAATGGAATTCAAGTAGGATGGTTTTTGACAGAGATAGGAGAAAAAACATATAAAAAAAAGTGCTAGGTGGCAATCTTAGCCCCTCCATTTTGGATAGAAACGGACATAGAATTTTAGGACTTTTCATGGTTTGTTCTGCATTCGATTCTAATTCTAATTCTCACATTTACAGCCAATTACAAATTTTCTTGATATCGGCCTTATTTTTTGCCTATTTTTACTTGGCTATAATAAATCATAAAAAAAAAAAAAAAATCTAATTCTCTGTAAAAAAAAACAACTTAATTTTTACATATGACGTTTGCACAGTAGCTTGATTAATTGTTGTAAATAATATTTTGTATTGTCTGTAATTTTTACTTTCACTTCCCTTCATCTGAAAATATCTATACCTGCTTAAAAAAAAAGGTGGTAAGTAAAAGTTGCAAGATTTTTTAACGTGTTTCTTTAGATGTTTATTTCTTAAGGTTTATAATCTATTTCATTATTGATGAAAATAATAACTGATATTAATTACAGAATATTTTTTTGCAGTTATTGAAGTGCCAAATGAGAAGTTTTTACCATGCCTTGAAAGAAGTTTTAATCATTTTCAGTCACCTGATAAAGAAGAAAATAATCCATTTCTCATTGTTCATTTTACACCTCCAGAAATAATGTGTCACCCAATGTAAGTGGCTGTTAACTACTTATTGATTTGGATATTCTCTTGTTTTATACTCATGAGTGTCTAAAAACCGGAAAGCCAGAAATGGTTTGGGGTTTTCATTATAATCAGGGAATCACCTTTAAATTTAACCGAAAGCTAGATAAAAGTTGGTGATCAGTGGCTATATCAATTTTGTCACATTCCATCTGCTAGTATTGCTTATGTATGCACAAAGAGTTTTCTTTGATATGCATATGTTTCAAAATGGCTTGTTTGATTTTGTCTTTAGTTTAGAAGAAAATTTGGAATTACTAAAAACATTACCTAATGACTATCTATAAGTATAAGTATCTATTTTATAAAATTTCAATCATTACTTTTGTTCAAACGATTTTTCATTGATGAAAAGAAATAATAATTTTATTCTGGGACGAAATCCTCTAAGAATAACTACCATATTCTGATTTTAGGCACATTGCCTGGCTTATTGTTTATATAAGAAATATCTTAGCTTGATTATGAAGTAGGTGATGAATGTATTCCATAAGGATGTTCCATGTATGATTCAAGATTTGCTGAAGGAAGTGGTTTGAATTCACTAACAAATTGTCCAACGTGTATTTTGTTAAGTTATTTGTTGACTATTAGATTATTGGAACTGTATTAGCATCAATACAGTGAGCTTGATTAGTTTTTGAAGACACAGATTATAAATTTCCCAGCAATGCGATCAATTAGTTCTTTTACAGAAATCTTTAGTACTGTCGTCGTTTATCAAGACTTAAATTACGAATTTATTATACAACATTAGCTACCTGTTGGTTTGTGAGGTGTGCTGTGGGTTTCAATCCACTGTAGGTTTGGGTTTCGATCCAACAGTAATACTTTGGATTATATAGAAATAATAAGATCTATGATCTAATATAGAAGTCTAGTGTGGTGGACAGCTCTAAATAGAGCTTCTCGTGTTCAAATACTTAGCCATATGCAACGAATGGCTTAGGCATAACATGGTGATTTCGTCCAATTTCTGAGGCTTTAAAAGTCTCTGTCATTAATGATGTTACACTTATGGGTAAAGAATGACGCCGTATTAGGATATTTAGGAATCAATTATGATAGATCGTCTCTAGGATTAGGATAGCCTGCTGGTCATTCAGCTATAGCTAATGTGGTGAAAAGGGAATTACTAATCTTACAATATTGCTCACCACTCATCGATAAAAACCTCCATTTGGCTCTAAGGTCTACTACTTGTATCTAAACATATTATATTCAGAACAAGAGATAATAGAAACCCATATAGATAACCTTTCCTGTTATAAAATGCCTCTAGAAGAGACTCAACAGGTCTATCAGGTATGGGTGTCTATAGAGGATATAGACATTAACTGAAGTATACCATTTGGCAAACATACTACTATCTTTCAAGCAGATGTATATACCATTCTATCACCACTCCCTTGTTCTAAAATGATAAAGTGCAATAAGTATTATTATCTATTCAGATAGTCGATTAGTCTTCCAAAAACTACAGTCATCTAAGGGCTCCTCTATACTGGCTCAAGGAGGTCCTAAATTGGAGATGGAAAGGGGCAAATAGATTGCACTGGCCTTGGATACCAAGCAATTAATAAAAAGCCCTTTACTTCTAGTATAAAATGGCTACTTGGCATCAAGAGAAACAAATTTATATTACTCATAGTAGTTCGCACAGGCTTAGAAGACACTTGAAAATTTGTAAAGTGGTGGCTGAACTTAACCTGCCATCAATGCGGACTAGCACCAGAGTGTTCTACATTATATAGCAGATTTTAATCAAGACTTCTTTGATTAAATGGTTGACCCTGCTAGCTTTCATTAGAAATACCAGAAGGTTCATAATGGAGAAATTAAGAAATAATCCTTTGGTTTCCTGGGTTAGGAAAAAAGGACTAATAGACCCGCTTACTTGCACTTAATCCCACCACTATTATCAATACCAAAGCCAATATTATAGAACATTCAATTATGAATGCATTATTGATATTGATAATATCATTTGATCTTATTGTTCTCGATAATTAAATGTTAAAAAAGAACTGTCTCATCATAATCTTATGAAATATAAATTTATAATAATGAAACTTACAATCAAAGAAAAATAAAACAAAAAAGTTAAGTATGTGTGAACGGATGATATTATAATTGACATTATTTTCATAAAAAGTGTCCCCGATAACATAAGAATTATGTTAATTAAAATTATGATCAAATATCTTGAATGAACATTAATGTTTATTGACGTCTTGTTCTTATTATACACGTCAATGAAACAAAATTTACTGTTGCAGTTTAAATTTAATATAATATTAAAAAATAATTCTTTTTAGTAATAGTAAATTTAATATGCCCAGAACTAGTCAATCGCAAAGATGTTGCATTCCACTTTCGCAAAAAGTGATAAATTTTCATCTCCCAGTGTTTAATCTTCTCTATTTTTATCCCATCTTTCTCCCATTTTTCTCTATTTTTGTCCTAAAAGATCAAGAAGGTCTCCTAAATTTATAGAAAAAATTAGTAAAAAAAAAGACTCTAATTAAAAATGTTAAATACTGTAGAATCTCGACCACTTTCTCTGCATTTGATGTCTTAACTCATGGGAAATATGCCTAACCGATAACACATCTGTTCAATAAGAGGTTGGCTGGTATATTAAAAGATTTTATTATGCATTTCTAAATATAGAAAAAGACAGTTATTTTCATTTGATTTTAAAATTTAAGGAAATTTTAAATGAAATATCTCTCCATTTTTGGTGGTTAAAATGTCTAGCATTTTAAACTTCCTTTTCTAAATCATCTTTTCTTTTTTCTCCTCACTAAACTGATACATGTATGGTCGGTTAATGAGTTATTTCTCTATTTGTAAGATTTATTAACGTTACCTACATATATCTAATAGCAATTGAAAATAAAATGAATGGTATGCATTAGAGAGAATATCTTTCAATGGAGAGATGTGACAAATATGGTATCTGATGAAGACCGTCGTTGATTTAAAAAACCTGATAGATTTATAATTTGAAGAATAAAAAGGTTTTTTGATTAGAAAAACAAATATCTTATAAAAAATGTATTTTATTTATAATGTGACATCGTCTTAATATAAATATTTTTTGTTCACATATTTATTTAATTTTTAATACAGTTACAAGAAATGGATGGAAGGATTTAGTTTAACTACATATCATCTTCTTGTGAACGAAGCAAACACATGCCTTGGAAGTACTGCGGTTCACCGAGTGCAGTACAAATTAAATCTAATTGAACCGTCCTTTTTCCCTCTGCTCAAAGATCCTGGCTTTACACAGGTACTAATCCTACTTACTTATATTTATTACTCTATCATAAAATGTTGTAAATTACCTTTTGTGCTAGTCTTACAACAATGATTTTCTTTAACATTATCATAACAATAACTTTTTTTTTAATAAAAAAATTTGGCCTATTAGAGTTTATATCTTGTGGTCATCTCCCCTCAAAATTAAAAAAAAAAACAAATGAACTGAATATTTGTTAACTTTATTGTTGCCTCCAGTAAACACTGTGTTATAAAACTAGTTTTAAATACTTAGAAAGAAGGTGGTATTTCCAATTTGTTTTATTTATGATTTATCATATTTTATAATTTTTATAGTTGAATATTGATTTCTTGTAGGAATATGATAAACTTAAAGAAAATATTCCAAATGGAAATCCTAGAACATTTGATTTGTCCTCTGAGTTCTGCATGGTAAAAGGCAACACCACATCAAAAATTTGGCTAAGACCAAAGAGACCGTGGGATGTGTAAGTACAATTTTGATTTTTTTTTTTTTTTATGTAGCCAATTTATACAAGCCACTATACAAATCTTAAAGCCCCATAGAGCATATTTAACTGAAACAATATCAATTTTTCTTTAATATTGACATATAATTTGTTGTCCGAAAGTTTGTCCCCGTGCCTTATTTATAGTTGTAGCAAACATAATTTAATGTCATGTGTACATGTATAATGCCTTCAGTTTTTTCATATTTATTGACATTTATGGTTACTGCTCTTATAGAGTGATGTTATGAAACCTAAAGCCTTCCTCAATAAATGGTCTATCTAATGCAAAAAGATTTTTTTAAATCAGACTGATTGGTTGTTTCTGAAATGTTCGAACAAACTCTGTAGCTTTATGTATTAGTATACAGGATGTCCCAAAGTAGAGGGAAATTTTTAGTGGAGTGATAGCAGACCTTAAGGGTAATGGGAATCTTAAGTAGTCACAGATTGTGCCTCACAGCATCCCTCCATCGGCCTTTTAGCCTACCATCTGGAACGTTAATGTACAATTTATGAGCCACTCTTTCGTCGCTCATCCTCATCATTCGGCCAAGCTACTTAAGCCTCTTTATCCTGATATATTAGGAGATGCTACATTCCTTGTAGTCTAAACAGTTCACTATTTTTTCTTCTTCGCCAATTACCATTCTCGTATACAGGCTCTAATATTCTCCTCAGAATTCGCCTTTCAAACCTGACTTAACAGCTTAATGATTTTATTGCTTAGGTAGGATCCACGTTTCTCCACCGTACGTGATGATTGGCCTTATCAGCGTCTTATAAAGCATAAACTTGGTGGTACGGCTAACGAGTTTGCTTTTGATTTGCCTTAAAATGGAGAAATACACTCTATTTCCTGCTATAATTCTGCCTTTAACCTTTTCTTTTACATTATAATATCGTTGATGATAGAGCGAAGGTAAGAAAAGCTTCTGACCACTTCGAAATTATAGGGACCCATTACAAAGCAACTCTGCCTCTGATCCAGTAACTTCTTAACCAATACCATAATCTTCGTTTTCTCCCCATTAATATGCAGGCCTGTCTTTTTTGCTTTGACATCCATCGCTTCGAAAGCCATCGTAGTGCTCTGAAGGAATCTACCCATAATGACAACATTGTCTGCATAGGCCAGAATTTCGGTAGTTTTTGTAAATATTGTTCTTCCCTGTTTTAGTCCAGCTCTATTTATGATTGCTTTTAGAGCGATATCAACAGGAGAGGAGCTATTGGTTCCCTGTCTTAAGCCACTTTCCACTGCAAAAGACTGACAACCCACAGGATTTTACTTGGTAGATAGTGCTCACCATGGCACATTTTACTAATCAAGTTAGTTTCCTGGGCATCCTCAGTTCATGCATGGCTAATATAAGTTTCACTCTTTACAATTGTATAATAGGCAGCCCAAAAATCAATGAACAGCATCCAAGTTGCATCATATTGTTGAGTCTCCATTCTTTTTGTATACAGGCATTACTACAGCGTCATTCCATTTCTTAGGTATGGTCTCCTCTTCCCATATCTCAGCTATCAGGTTCTGTAGTTCTCTGACGACTTTGTGATGCCCTGCTTTAAATATTTCTGCAGGGAGTCCATCATTACTGGGTGATTTATTATTTTTAAGTTTACACAAAATGTTATCGATGTCCTCTACATTAGATGGAATGATTTCCAAATCTTCATCATTAATACCCACTGGTAATGGTACATGGTCTTGCAGACAGTTCTCTGCTTCTCTCGCATTCAATAAACTCTTGAATTATTGCCACCATATTTTTTGGCACTTCTTCTTCCATCATTTAGATTCATGGTCATCCTTGGTTAGGTTGGCTCTCCTGGTCGGTCCACACTTAATGCAATTCACCATTTTGTAGAACTTGCAGGATTGCAGGATTCATTTCTACTTCATTTACTGTCTCTTTCGACTAATATATACTATATATTTGACTAATTCTTTTTTCATTCTGTTTCTGGATTGTCTGCTCACATTCTTTGTCCAACCAATAGTTACGAGAATGTCTTGTTTTTTATCGAATTTTTTACATCCACCTGAAACTTCGTAAATAGATTCATCTCATCGTAACCTACAACTATTTGTTTACGAAAACTCTTGGAATCGGGGCGTTTTGAATCTGAAGGGGGGCAAACTTTGTCTATTTAATTAGGTGCTGAAAACTCGTAAATACCCATTTCCTTTCTACTTGGATCGTAACTTAATTTGATCACAAAATCGAAAGGTGCCCTACATAAATATTGGGCCGTTTGCATCACCTCGTTATTTTGAAAATTTGGGGTGTAGGTCACGCCAAATGGCTCAATATTTTTAAGGCCAATCAGCTGGGTCCTCCTAAGAGAAGAGCTTGGCTGTTCGAGGTTAGAGTTGTTGTTCGAGCCTGGTCTTTTTTTTTTTCTATTTATTCACATAATATTTCGAAAATATATTCACGTTGTTACTACTATCAGAAAAATAAAATATTCACGTTATATTTCAGACATATATTCACATTGTTATTATCAACAGAAAAAATATATATATTTTTTTTTACTGAAATGTACAAAGCTACAATAATTTAAGTTTTTTCTTTCTAAAGATAAATTCTTCAAGGCTCGAACCTTATGAGCCTTCAGCTTCAGCCCTGAAGATTCGAGGTCCCTAGGCTCTAGCGACGCCTTCGAAACTCGAGTCTTTAGGGCTCGAGGTTTGTTTTTACAACACTACCTTTTTCCTTTTATCTGTTTTATTTTGACTTTATTATGTTTTTTGTCTTAATATTGACTATGATATCATTTTTAGCCCCGAGTCTCTTCAAATAGATCCAGAATGCTTTGAAGCTGAGGCTAAAGGTATCAATGGGTTCTCAAATGAAGTATCAAAACTTCAAAAGGAACTAGCACAATTTCCACCTTCAGATCAAGAATATCCTAACATAGTATTTTTGGGCACAGGCTCTTGCATTCCAAACAAAACAAGGAATACATCAGCAATTCTTCTGAGTATAAGGTTATTAAATTTATTAGTTTATACATAGACAAATACAAATTATCACCATTATAAGTACTTCTGAATCTAGTTTATATTAATCTATGCATTTATTATTTTATTAAAATCTATAATACATTATTTTCAGTGATGACTGCAGAATCATGTTGGACTGTGGTGAAGGTACTGCTGGACAAGTTGTGCGCTATTTTGGACCTGAAGGAGCTTCCAGAGTTTTTGCTAGTTTACGTGCAGTGTATGTTTCTCATCTCCACGCAGATCATCACATTGGTAATTTTATGTTAATTAAGTTAAATGAATGGTTTTATCATTAATTATTATTTCTATTCATCAAAACAATTATAAAGTTTTATCTCTTAAACCTGATAGGCTTAAGAAAATTCTCTAAAGAATTGGTCCTATAGGAACCATTGGCCCTTGCACATTGGAAATGTAGTTAACAGCAATGCAAGGAAGGAAAACTTACCATCTTATAAGTATTAAATTTGTATAAAAATACTACAATGTACCAGTTAAAATGATCGATAGTAAAAATAAATTGGTGATTTTTGTAATTTTGAGGATTGTATTAGGCTGATTCTCACAATTATTTCATTATGGTATTTATTAAATGTGTTTAAGAAGTTATGTGTAGATTTTTAGAGATATTAAGTGTTTATTGCGTTATCAACTCTGGTTCAAGAAATTCATTTATAGCTGGAAGGAGGGAGTGGGTCAAGCCCACTTCAACAGCACCATGAGCCAGAAGAAGAAGACCAATGCTGAGAAGACCGCCGGAAGATTGACACGAGTTCACCGATAAAAATTTGTTCAATACGTTCAAATATGTATACTGTTTTACTTCCAGTTGTGGGTTGTTAACAATCATGCTTAACATCCCACAACTGCAAACACCCGTATAACCTAAGGGAAGGTGGCAAACAAATAATAAAAATGATAATAATAATAGTGTTATCAACTGTCAAATAGGATGAATACTTATATTTTGGTAAAATCGCTAAATATATTTTTGTTTAAAAAATAGATAAAAGAAATACAATAAATTGTACTATTCGAATGGAATACAGTGCAGTGATGCTTAAGAAATATTAAATATTGCTTTTGGTGATTCTGATAAATATCCAGTAAGTAGCCATTCGTCCCAAAAGTACTCGGACTGACGTTGCATACACTCAAGCCAAAGTTTTTATATTTGATTATTTTAAATGAGCTTACTTTTTCCTTAGGCTACTTTCATCTTATAATATCAATAAAATTTGAGGGTGTTATGAAATTTACTCTTGGAAAGTGTTTTACTCTTTCCTGATTTCAAGATCTCAATAATTTAGGAAAGAAACTAGATTCTTGAGACAATAGATAATATAGTATTAAGATTGTAAGTTATATATATATATAAGTTATATATCTTTTACTACTAAAACCAATTTGCCAATTAAGTAAGATGCTTCCATTGCCGTTGTCACAATTAAGTGGTCACCATTTTTGTTGCTTGCTTAACAAAAAATCCTTTATTTCAGAGCTGTGTATTCTACATTTATATCAATCTATTATTGTTGTGGTCATTGATAGTATACCTCTATTGAATTTTAATGGCTATTGATTTTTATTGAAATTTTATTTCATGTGTCCCATGTTTAGTATCCTATAGACGCTCTGCAGATTAAATGCTTTGTGGGAAAGTTCTACTGAGTACCTATTTAAAACAATTATAATGCTCCAAAGTTCAACTGTTAAAGTATTTGTACTGCTTGATGCCACAGCTTTTCTTTGTTGACTATCTACAGAAAGTGTGTCTATGGTGTTCCCTATGATAAAATTTACTATCTTTGTATTATGCCAACAATTGAAAAAAAATGTTAAACCCCTATCAATAAAGTGATATACAACATATTTTTAAAGTCTTAAAAGTTTTGATAAGTGATAATACTGATTACTAGATGCAGCTGGAAACCACCTTCAACAATGTAAACATCAGTATTTAATAGCCTTATATATCAGTAAACGTTAGGTGGTTAATTGCCACTGTGAGAAAGGTAACAAATCATTATTAAAAACAATTTTTTTTTTCCACATTACAGTAACCCTGTAATGGGTGCATATATTTCTACGCGTACCATCTTTTGACATAACGCGTATTGAGATACATAGTTAGTTTAAGTAACATAGTATTGATATATTGCAATTCTTTAAATAATTAGAAAATAAAATATAGTAATCTAAGTAAATAATTCAATATAACATACAATAACTGAAATGATAAACAATAGTGATACATTAGAGATTAGATAGTGAAAAGAAGAATATTTACAGCAGAAATGTGATATGGTAGGATAAAAACAAGGTTAAAGATTTAGGATAAATTGAGGGTTTAAGGCTATATTTACAGATTATGTACGATTTGGTAAAACAATTGATGTAGGAAATTTTGAGGGGTGATTAGGCAGCCGTTTGATCATTAAGCTCAGAGAAATCAATTCGTTCCACAAATGCATCAAATTCTGAGAAATATTTTTCAATCAGATCCTTCTTTGAAGGCAGCCATTGGTCTCTGTTCACCATGACAGCAGAGACCAATTTGTATCTTTATTTATCCAGTCTAGTGCAGTCATACAGGAGGTGGTCGTATGTTTGCTCACTGTTGTCACATTTGCAAATTTTGTTTTCAGTTAACTTAAATTTGAATAAATTGCTTTTGGCTGCTCCGTGTCCTGTCAAAAATTGTACTAGTTTTGGTAATAATTTTTTAGTTTGATTCTTTCTCCTAAATTTTTAATGTAGTCGTAAGTGTGTCTGCCTTTTGTTGATGTCGCCCAGATTTGGTCAGCCCTTATGATTTTGATTAAATTTATGATATAAATATAAAATTGAGTTGTCTTTAATATTGGGTAGGTATTAATCTTATTAAAATAGTTTGACTTATTAATATAAGTCAGATATTTGGTAGGACCATGGATAAAAAAAATCTATGCCACCAGAAGAGTGGGAAGGCTCCGGTTATGATCGATGAACCAGTGATGTAGAATTTACCTTATTAGGTGGTTATAACTGGAGGGTAGCAGCAGTCGAAAGAAATGAAAGAACTTTAGGAAACCCTGAGTTTCCAAAAGTTATAGTACCAAAAAAAAAGAAAGAAGTTATTTAAAGCGAACCTGACTTCAATTTTAGTTAGTAAAATCCAGTATTTGAGAATATGGAAGCTAATTTTCTTAAGCTCTTCAGTGAACTTAGTCAAAAGTAGAAGCAGAACTTAGAGGCCTATGACAGACTCCCAAAAAATAAATCTTTAAACTCTCATCCCCATTAGAATAAATTAGTAACCTGTAGGATAACTTTTTATTTGGAGGGTGTTATTATAGCGCCTTATTAAGATATGCAGATTTGAATACTTATTTTCCTTAATGATAGTGTTTGTTAATTTAACATTTCAACTTTTTTTTTTTTTGTTCTAGGTTTAATTGGAATTTTGCAAAACAGACCTCAGGATGCTCCACCACTTTTTCTCTTTGCTCCTAGCCAAATTATGACTTGGCTTAAATTGTATGATGAATATTTTGAAAGTATTCTACAATCTTTCATTTTAGTTCCTAATACTGATTTGGTAAGTAGATAATTCAATTATTTTATATTGTCAGTATATTGAAAAAAGTTAAAAAAAAAAAAATCAAATTCAAACATTTTATTGACTTTAATCACCTAGTAATTTGATTGACTTTCTTTTTTTTTTTTTTAACCTTGCATTTCACTGCGGCCAAGTTAGCTCATAGTAAACAATAATTACAGCTATCTATATAGATATTTTAGTAGAATCTAAGAATCTTATTTTGCTCAGTGAGTTAACAAGTCCTCATCATGTCATGGGAAATGATTATTTAGACTCAGGGGGCCTTAAAACATGTGTTGAGAACTATGATTAAAAATTTTTCATGATCGCATTACTTCCCCAGACTATATTTTAGATGCATGTATAAAATTAAATCAAAATATGTATAGGTAAGTGAAAGTAAAATAAAATGATAAAAACACAAACACCGTTGTAGTATCAATCTGACCTTTTTTACTTAATCTAAAAAAAATATCATTATAACTTTTTATCATAAACTTTTATTATTCTATTTTTTTTAGTTTTTTACACATTATAAATTAAGAAAGGAATACAGAGATAGTTTGAAAAGTGAATTAAATATGGAAACTATTCAGACGACATATGTAAGGCACTGTCCTAATGCCTTTGGTGTTTGCTTAACTTCAAATGATGGTTGGAGACTTACTTATTCAGGTGATACCATGCCTTCTGATGATCTTATTGAATTAGGTAAGTGTTTTTAATATTATAGGTATAAGAAGAATATTACTTGTATAATACTAATTATGTTTTATTGGTGTTTTTTTTTTATGACTATGTGCAATCACAAAGTAATTTAACCTAAATTATTTAATTTCCTTACATATATGCTTGAGAGCCTGCCATTGTGTAAACACATCAAATCTGTTTAGAAGGTGATTAAGTCTGATGAATTAAACATTTTTTAACTTGTTATATATAGTTGTGTTTGCTATTAAGTAGCATGCAAACCCTCAAAACCCTCTTATTCCAATTCTTCTTCACAACCCAATCAGACGCTGGTTAATTATGTATCATGCAACAAGGATAATTTTTTTTTTTCATAAACTATTTTATTTATTTTTTTCTTTATTATTTGTGAACTGGAAAGATTCAGTATCACTTTTGGCATAGCACTGTGAGGTGATGCATAAAGAATAACAGATTGTTTGTTGTTTTTATCCATTTTTCTTTTTTCTATCAACAAGATTGTGTATATTTTAAAGTAATTCATTATTACTTACTTTCATTAAAGTAATTCATTTCTTACGTTCCTCAATTTCTATACATATATATCTTTCTATTGCTTTTTTTTTAACTATACATGTAATTCTTTTTTTTTTTTTTCTATTTTTCCATTTTATAGATTATTATTTTTTAGTAATTTACATACTATTATTTAAGTTGTTGTATATATTGTTTGAATCTTTATTGAGTTAGTTTTCGGCCAGATGTGTATTTTTTTTTTTTTTTGTAATTACATTATTGTTATTCTAAGGGGACATTGTCCCTGAATAAAGTTTATTTTCTATTTCTATAATTAAATAAATATATAAATATTTATTTTTAAAAAACATATATATAATAATGAGGTTGGTAAATATAACTTCCTTTGCGATTTATTTATTTTTTATAAACACTTTATTTGTCACATAGCATTACATTTTGACGTTTTAGGATATATTCTTCATCGCCAGAACTATCTAGAGTTTTTGTCATATTCTTCCCTACTATATAAGAACTAATTACAAATATATTGTTCATGGGTGATAAATATTTAAGACGCAGTCATTATAAAAAAAATTTTTTGTGCCAACATTTCAACCCAAACGTAGGTCATCATCAGCTGAAAATTTTAAAATACAATCAGAGGTATAATATTATACGACCGATAACGGCAAATAATAAACTATAGTGATTGATGGTATATGAATCTTAACTAATATTACGATACAAAACATTAAAAATGAAATATGTAAAAAGTTATACAAACTAAAAATAATTTATATAATCCATTTATAAAAATCTGGTGCGTGCAACACACAACTTTCACTTACCGATCTACTTTGAATAGAAATTATTTTCTGGCAATGCTGGGCTGTTATAAAATTTTTTGAAGTTCATTTTAAACGGAACTAAAGCTTAAAGCTTACAGATAACAATTCATTAAAACCATTATAATTACAAAATGTCTATTTAATATATATCAACAACAGGCAATAAAAATCTAGTCACTCCTTCTGTTTTTATAAACTTCACAACTTTCTTTGCTTTTATAAACTTCAGAATTACTAACTCCAATTTCAATATTTTTAAGTGATATCATTTTAGTAATATTTTTAGTTGAAAGAGTTATCTATGCAGAATTGAGTAAGTTGATTTCGGAGGTTATGATTGCAATGTTGAAATATAGAACTAAAAATAAAAGTATAAATTTAGGTACTTATTTCTTATGAAAAATGTTCATAGGAAAAATACTTTATTAAATATCTGTAGAAAAAAAGTTTTTTTAGTCTCAACAATTAAAAAAATATATTTTAAATTTATCCAAATTTTCATCTCTTCAGAGAAAAAAACTAGAGACCATATCTTTCCTCCTAGTTGTCCGATTTTAAAGATTTTTTTTTTGTTTTTTTTTAGGAAATTCCATAAACTTTAAAAAAACCATATATAATATCGCCAAAAAAGTGTACACTTTTTGAGTTATTCGGAATTTAATTTTACCATCGCTCGTAACTTTTTTCCAGCTTCTTTTCGTTGAAGTATGTTATATAGATAAATTTAAAGAGTGTCGAGAAAATGACTTTAGCGAAGTTTCATTGAAATCGGTACATCCATTTAGGCGCTACAGTCTATAGCAACGTAGGTTTTTCTGCTTTTTTTTTTTTTCTCCTCTATTAACTTACCAAATTCTTTCAAAAGTTATATTTAGCATTTTTTCATTACTTTGAATAATGTGAAATAATTAACTTTTTAAAATAAACCATATTTAAGGTACTTTAGAGGAAGACGTATATGAACATTGGGCATTTAAGCCCTGTTAAGTGACATCAATGGGGATAAGACCTAATTGATATTAAAGACCACTTAATTATATAATGATACACCGAGTTTAATCAAAATCGTTAGAGCCGTTTTTGAGAAAATTGTGTAAATGTGTTTCAGCGTTGATATAAAGTGGCACTTCCGGTTAGCAGATTTTCAGGAAAAAGTTGCCGTCACATCTAAGGCATATACCTATCTTAAATAAGTAATATCAGTTTTGTAGGACTTTTCATTTTTGAGCTAGACTGCTAACATACAAACACACAGACACACATAACATTTTTCGGGACTTGGTCATTTCGACTCATTGTACCTCAAAACTTTTATTTCCGTTGAAAACTCAGATTCAAAAATTTTCTCGATCGCAATACTTACACTTACTATATATTACATATATACGTAAGTAAAAGTAAAAATTTGTAATACTTTCTCTTACTAACCGTGGTTTGAGCACTGAAGGTTTTCAAGTACTGATACATTTGGTAGGTAAGTGAAAGGGTCGGGAGAGGATTTCTCAATTGAACTTTTTCAGGTAGCAAAAGGTAGGTAAACATAGTCAGAAGGGAAAGGGAGGTAACATTTCTGTTTGTATAATGTAAATAATTTGCTGACTAAATATTTCAGATATGTACAATATTTGTGTTGTTTCTTATGGTTACAGAATTGGTCAATGTGGTAATATTTATTTTGTTTAGAATCTGTTTATTATGTCTTGAAATAAACTTGAATGATTTTCTCATCCTCATCCATGCACTAGTTAGAAAACTACCCATACCAAAAGTAATTTGCTCTAAAAATTCATGCTGTGTGTTTGAAAATGAAACTGAGCGAGTCAAGTCATTTGATTGAATTATGAAAACATTATCTGCTTGAACATTCCCTCATAAAGGTGTTCATTTTAACTATTTTCAGACAACCCATTGATTCTGTAAACTCAAAATTTTCCGTTATTTATATTGTTAAGTTACGTTTCCTTTGAAAAGTAAACAAACAGTTTCTGAACCAAATTATATTTATTTTACACAATAATTATTTCTCAGGTTGGGTTGAGACAACAAACACCCATTCCTCAAATATATAATATAAAAGCATATATTAATTGTATGTAACATTTATGAATTTCCATTGTTTTGTCGGGATCCACTCTTGGCTCATTTTCTAACTGTCACTATTTATATTTCACTCACCCTGTTCTGCAGTGAATCTTGCTCTGTATTGTTGAATTCAACTTTTACAATCTTCTATTTTCCTTTATTGACACTCACTACTTGTTAGTCATCTGTCACTCTCTGTGCACGCGCTTTGATGATCTTTCCTAGCTGGCTGGTCACTTTTTCTTCTTCTCGATCCTCTTTAGTCACCGGCTAGTTACCTTCTGGTCTTAGATATGGCTCTTGCTTTCCGCTTGCATCTCTCTTTCTCCGCCTCTTTTTCCGTGTTATATAAGTAATAGTGTGTATAAAAAAAAAATTAACGTTTTATCAAATTCAAGATTTCAAAGGACTGTAAATATTTTAATCCAATTAATACTTGTCAATACTTAATAATCTCTTTAGAGCATTATCTAAGCTTGTTTAATTCCATTCGACTTCTTCAGTGTGTTGTGTCGAAAGATTTTGTTAATCACCATCTACTCTCTATGGGGAAGGTAAATAAGAGCAGTAGGCTGGTCCCTCACAAACTTTCTCCTCAGCAATCAGCTAAGAGGTTAGAAATTTGTGAAAATTTATCGAAAAACCCTTCTGATAGGAGACTCCTGCCTCATCCACTATCCAGATCTCGCACCATCGGATCACTACTTATTTAGATCCGTGACCCATTTTCTTCTAGGGAAAAAATTTGATAATTTTGCAGAAGTTAAAATTGCGATCCAAGAGTTCTTTGACAGCCATTCCAAAGAATGGTATCAGCGTGGGATCGAGCAATCAGCTAGCAGATGGCTAATGATGGCATGAATGAATGAACAATGAACTATACTTGAGTATTAATTGTATTTTATATCAAAGGAAATAATAATACAGGTTGAAAACTGTCATTTTTTTTTATACACTTAATTATTTTAGACTGACCTGTGTGTAGGATTACAATAATCTTCAGCAAAAAACTTTCCTAACCTACAAGCAGCATTCACATTACTTCTCAATTTTTTTTTTAATTATACACTATAACATGGTGAGGAACAATTAATAAGTTAGTGAGTCTCTTGATAACTGCCTCATAACTGGTCATCCACCCTTGATTCACTAAAGTAATTCACCAAGAAAACTAACATTGTCTAAATCTGGATTAATTATGGAATTTTGGAGTATTCTGATCGTAATATTAACAATTTTTTTCTGGGTTACTCTATGTATATTTTGGGGGGCTCATACCCTTTCTTAAATAATACAATTCAATTATGTCATGTACAATTCCATGACCTCTGCCCATAACTATTTAAATGGACCTCATGAGCTGTGTAAATTAAGATCATCTTTCAAGCATTCTAAACACTAGGAAGATATTGGCAACTCACATTACAAAAAAATTAAGAGCTCTAGATGAGAACTGTGAATTTACTAACTTCTTCACGGTGTTTAGAGTGTTTGGAAGATGATCTCACTTTACAGAACTTGTGAGACCATTTTTGGACTGAACTAATTATGGCCAGAGACCATAGAATTGTCTTTCATCAAAATTTCTTCTATTACCAATTTTCGGGCTTATTTCCTAATATTTCTCTCTTGCTTTAAATATATTTCATGGCAACTTTCATTGTGTGGTGTTCCAAAACTTCTTTTTATTTTGTTTATTCGGGAAAAAAATATTAAAACCTCTCATAAAAGCTGCTTAAACTTTAGTTGGAAGATAAGTGTTTTGGTCAATAAAAGCATATGTTTAACTAAATCCAAAACCAAATTATTCTCCATAGTAATAATGGAGGGAAACGGAACAGAGATCTATTAGCAGTTATTCATAAGCCTTGTTTTTATGAAACTTAGTTGGTATTTCTAATATGCTTACCAATGGTTCTTAGCACTTTATTATGACATTTTTATCTGCAGGTATGGACAGCGATGTGTTAATTCATGAAGCTACGATGGAAGATGACCTTGTACATGAGGCAAGAGCAAAAATGCATTGCACAACATCAGAAGCAATAGAAGTTGGAAAAAAAATGAAAGCTAAGCATATTATTCTGACTCATTTCAGCCAGCGTTATGCGAAATTGCCTAGGATAGTTGGGGATGACTTAGGCAACAATGTTGGTGTTGCTTTTGATAATATGAAGGTAAGAATAAATTTTATGATTATAGTGTTTTACTTTTCTATTAGTAGAAATTTTGGTTTTGAATTTGCTCCTATTCTTATACCACAAATTTTATTATTTATATGTGTAGATAGTTGACAGAATGATGAATCAAGGAGGAAATGGTCCTGGGAGTCAGTCAGAAAGATATTGCTAATTATTAATTCAATGCCTACATTTTGCCTCACATTGTAGTTCTCCATCTATCTATCTTTTTCTGACTTATTCTTGGATCATTTCATTATTTATTTATATTGATTTAAGATGTTATAAATTTCATAGTTAGAAATATTTAATATAATTTAGGTCGTATTCTCATTGATGTTCCATAACAGGGTTTAAATGTATAATTTTCAAAATATCTTCCTCTAAAGTACCTTTAATTTTTTAATTTAAAATAATTAACCGTTCCCCATTAAAGACCTGCTATAAGAAATGGTTACATATAGTGAATGAAGAAAATGGATTGGTACCTGAAATAAGAATAAGAAGCTATACGGTATAAGCTATATAGGAAGCTCGGCTGTTCTGCCGAGAGCGCCCGACCTTTGCTGACCCTCTTCTCTTACTGTCGCCCAACACCACTCTGTTATGGGCTTTCATATTGTTAGTTTAACTTTTATATATCGTCTGTCCATAATTTTTTAAAAATGTTTTTGAGAATTTATTAATATAAACCTAATAATATGCAATATTTACTAACGTTCGATGAGTTTCATGATAAATGTTTTCCGATAAAACTCAGAATTTTTCCAAAATATCCATTTTACTCACAATCATTTGTATTGTTTGATACTATACACAGTCGTAAATCGAAATGGAAAGTGATGCAATAGTAAATTTAACTGATACGATGGGTAGGAAAAACATGGTAGTTAATTGTTTTAAATTAAGTTTTTATTCCGACTTCCTATAAGAAAATACCTATCTACTCTATGGTTGGTATGTGAAAGTTATGTGATGCGCGCTTTGCACCAGATTTTTCCCCATTCAGCTACTATTGACTAGACTAATTTGATGAATTTGACACCACCAATTTTCAAAACATAACCAGAGTATATAGTCAGTCAAGGGGAATTCTCTTTTAGGGACACATTTTTTACATCTTATCAAAATTTCAGCCATCAGTTCTTCAATTAAATAAAATTTTTAATTCCACCACATTAATTTAAATTTTCGTATAGATAGCAATGGCTTTCAAACAACTGATTGAAGTTATGTTTAGATAAGGTTTACCTAGAATTTTTTTTTTTTTTTTTATTTATGACATTTACAACTGTATTACATAAATACATCAAGTAAATTGGACATAATTGATATAATGACATGAATACACTTGCTGAGTAACTACCCAATGGTAGCACTCTAATGATATGACTACATTAGGAGATCACGGGGCCATCTTCTTTTCAGATGCCTCGGAACCTAGAATTTAAAATAGTTATTAGTTGTAAGTCCTTAAGGTAAATAAAATGGTCGGTATCTCCTAGTTTATAAAGATGGTTGCTGATTCCACATTTAGTAAGATTAACAAAATTGATCTTTTTTAAATATTTGTTTAGTAACTTATAAAATCTCCAAAAAGAAAAGACTACTCTTTTGTCCATGTCATGTTTGCTTAATTATAAACAGTTGCTTTATTATCTGAGGTAATGACAGGGAAGAAGGTGTGCGTATAATCAAATTTGTGTACAGGATGAAAAAAATTATATTATTATATAAATTAAATTATATAATATATTTATTGATTAATCACTATTGCCATTAAGTTATAATTTGTTGTAGAAAAGAAGTGAAGGAGAAAAAAATTACTTATCTATTTTTCTCCTGATTGTTTCAATTTTTTCATTAGATTAATTTAAAAAAAATTGTTTTGTCTCTCCAATAATGGGAGTGAGGTGGCTGAGCGGGCTAATGTGTTATTTAAAATAAGTGTTGCCTTGGTAACCTGATGATAAACCAAAAGATTACGATTTCAAATCCCGATGCCCTATGAGACTTTTAATGCAGCATAATTCCCCCACCCTTTCCGTCGGCCCTGAAGAATCCCTATATAGCCTAAGTGGCAAGGAAGGAGCTACAAAAAAATAAATAAATGTCTATTCTATAATAAAATCATAATCTTTTTTTTTTAATTTATTAAATGGTCTATTTTTATTTAGGTTCGGTTTTGTGACCTGCCAAAGTTGAAGCTACTATATCCTTCATTAAAACTAGTTTTTCGTGAAGAAATGGAAGAACTTGAAGAAAAAGCTTTTAAAAGAAAATTAAAAGAAGAAAGAGCTAAAGCCAAAAGGTAGTTGTATTTTATTTTGTATAAATTAGAGACACTGTTTATTTATTTTTTAATACCATTGTTTAAGGTACTGACTCTAATGTTTATAAAAATAATACCTTTTTTAATTACTGTTAATGTACATATGTTATGCAAACATATTTATATAAATATATATCTGTATAAATTGTATATTCTATGTTATAATATTTAATTTTTCTTTTTTTACCTTTCCTTCATTTCTATTTATTTATTAGTTCAATTAGTTGACAACATTTTTATTATAGCCTTAAGTATTCATATTTAGTTAAACGGTTGAAAAAGATAAGGATAAAGTTTTTCCCTGTTCTGCTACTTTTTTAAACCTATTTATTAGCTGTATCCGTGACTTAAATTGTTGAATAAAGTGTTAGAGGGTCTGTAAATAAGTTGTTTAAACTAAAATACAATTTTATTTTATTTATATGATACACCTATTTCTGTTGAGATTAATAAAATAAAACATTTAAAAGAGACAGCTGTGTTTGGGAACTTGTTTTAACAACACTTGAGGATTATTTTAGTCCATTTCCAAAAATAATTCATGATGTTAACCATAAAAATGATTAACAGAAATTATTATTTTTAAAAAAAATATTAACATAAATGATACTTTGGTTCATGAGTAATTTCTAACAATAATAAAGACATAGGATTACACTGAAGTGAGTATTTAAATATTGTTTTAAATAAAATTCCATCAAATCCCCAATTGACACCCATAATTGTCAACAAAATTTACCCTTCTGATCCACATATAAAATTTTGTGAAAGAAGGCAGGTAGATAATATGAACAAGTGCTAAGGTAAAACAAATATCCTGTTTTGCTTAAATAAAAAATAAATGAATCTCCTTTAATAATAAGTAATTTTTGACAGCCAGCATGGCACATGCTATAAACAGAGCCTCCTGTCACCTGAGGAGGATAGAATATCGTAAAACTCAGTATTTTTTGCTTTATATTTTAAGAAAATAATTTGAATTTTCAAAGGAATGAATAGGTTAGATACTTCTTAACAGCAATTAATTTTTGTGCTTTGTCAAAACTGAACCAGACAACCTAATAAACGGCATCGAACCCAGAAAAAAAAGTAGAATAGTTATAGCCTTAAATTACTTTTTATATAAATGCAAAAAGTAGATGGTTGTCCAGAAAATAATGTAGGATTTTGAGTTTTCTTTAAAATATCCTTCTATATAACAAACTGTTTATATTTACTGGATTATTCGTTTGTATGAATGTCAACACTTATTAATCCTCTTCCACACGATAATGTAATAACATATCTCTTTGGTATTTTGCTGCTTAGAAATAATTCAATCTTTACTAAGATGTCAATGCGTTCTTTTCAAATAATTTTATTTTTATTTGAGTTTAAACTCGGCCGGAATGGGACTCAGGCAGCCAGAAACATCAATTAAGTCTGGGATGAGAGCAGCATTAATGAGTGCACTGTTCAACGATGGTTCAAGAAATTTCGGGTGGAAGACTTCAGCCTTGAAGACAAGAAGATCGTGGGCTTTGGTGGTAGAAAACCCCAGAACAACTGTTCGAAAACTTGCAGGGAAACTTAACCTTAGCAAATCAACCGTCGATGACCGCTTCAAGGTGATGGGAAAGATAAAAAAGCTTCAAAGTTGGGTTTCAACAAATTAAATGACCGCCAAAAAAACCAGCATTATGAATTTTGTGCTACACTTCTGTGCCGAAACAAAAACGACCCTTTTCGGTCCAGAATTAACACTTGGGATGAAAAGTTAATAATAGTAGACATTCTGAACAGTGGTTAAACAAAGGAGAAGCAGCAGAACATTTTCCAAAGCCTCTAACTCATCAAAAAAACGTGATGGTTACTGTTTGGTGGGCTTCATTTGGTTTAATACATTCATTACAGCTTCTTAAATTCTGGAGAAACCATCAATGCTGAATCGTATTATAACTAAATTAATACAGTGCATCAGAGATTGGCAATAATGAAGCCATCTTTGGTCAATCGGAAGGGACTCATTTTGTTGCATGACAACGACAGGCCACATGTCTCGCCTGTGACGTCACAAAAACTGTTGGTGCTTGGGTATGAAACTCTGCCCCACATACGCCCTACCCTTGCCTAGATCTCATTTTTTAGACACCTAGACCACTATTTCATGACAAAAAATATAATGGACAAAGAATTAGAAAATGCGTTTTTGGAGTTTATCAATTCTAAAGATGAAAAATTGTATTCCGAAGGAATAGAAAAGTTGCCAGAAATGTATTGATAATAGCGGAGACTATGTTGATCTTCCTTTTAAACCAAAATTCTGTAATATTTTCTGAGCAACCCTATAATTTAAACTTTTTTTGTTACAAACAATTCCTCTCTTAAAATCCATTGGTGATGTAGCAATAAAGTTTCTCTGATGCTCATTAATTTCCAATTAAGGAAAAAAAACTAACTTAAAGTAACTTACCAGCCTGATTGAGACATGATGGTGAGAATGTTTGGACGAGTGTCCCTAGTGTCTGTGAATCCTATTCTCTCCTTGGTCACTTAGTATTTATTTCTTGAAAGGCCTACGAAATTAATTCTGACATTCTCAATCTTTATGTATTTGGCAGCAACCACTAGACAGCTATCAGGGGCTAGTGAAAAATAACATAAGATCCAATGGACTAGTTCCGTCACCTATACTGTATCAATCATTTACTAAAAAAAATAGCATTAATTTCCAAGAACAATGGGCCTATAACTAAATTTTTTTTTATCCCAGAAAATCATTGTTGCTTTTTATAGAAATTATTTTTAATTTTTCACCAATCAGTCTAGTCGAATTAGCCAAAGAATTGCTCAATAGGAAAAAAACAAAGTTTTGCAATTTGTCATATTTACTCTCTTGAGCTTCTTTTATAACATACTAACTAAAAGTCACCAAGGATGAGGGCAAAAGTCATTTTCATAAATATGATAGCAAATACTGAGCCGAAAAACGATTCCTATACAAAATTAAACTAGAGTAAATACTCTTCATTAAATGTCCTCTTTTATTTTATTTATTTTTTCTGTTGGCTAAATTAGTATTAGTGAAGCAGTAAAATACAATAATTTTTAGTTATAAATTACTTAAATATTTCCTACAATAATAAAAGAGCCTGCTTTAAAATTGTTGGAGGGATTAAAAAGATTTTAATGGAAAAAATCATCACTCAGATGTCTATGTTTTATTTCTTAATTAAACAGTATAAAAGTAGAGTAAATTCTCTTCAAAAAAAAGATGATATTCTTTTTTTCTTGTGGCCTATAGATTTAGAGATTAAAAAAAATTCTTTTAAACCATTTTTTTTTTTCAATCTATACAAATATAAAATAGACACAATAACTTTTTATATATTTTTTCCATTTTACATCTGAATTTTTTTTTCTTCAAAAAACATCATCATCTTCAATAGAGTTCATTCTCATTGAGCAATAAGCAATAGACTGTTAGTGCAGGATTCTTAGTAGTTGGTTCTGTGCAAACAGAGCTAACTTTCATAACAGGTTTTTGACTGCCACTTCTTCCCTCACAAGTACCTGTCCATTTACAGAAAAATATGCTTAAAAAAAATCATTGGGCTGGAGAGTCTAGGGTTTTTAAAATAAGAAATATCTCATCTGCTATAAAAACTGTGGTAGGAATCCTCTCCAACAGCAACTATACAGGTGGTTAAGTGGACTAACGTGCAAAACAGGCATTTGCCTAGCGACCTAATTAACAGAAGTTATTATAATAAAATAATTACGAGTTTGTGTCACAGCACCAGCGGGGCTTTCTTTTAATATTGGCATTAATCCCCCACCCTCTCCCTTGGCCCAGGGAAACCACTCTTATAGTCTAAAAGACGAGAAAGAGGACAAAAGAAAAACAGCAACTATACTATGTAGGTGAATTATGTCAATTGTACGTTGATAAAGAACTGAAGCATTGATGCTCATATGCACACTTTATACTGGTGTATTAATATATATATATATATATATATATATATATATATATATATATATATATATATATATATATATATATATAAAACAAAGTAAAAAGTTACTGTTTCAATAATTGTATAAATAGATTGAAAACAAATTGGTTTATAATCTCTTTTTTAATCTCCAAAACTATAGACCATAAGAGAAAAAGAATGGATCCTTTTTTAAAGAGACTACTATACTTTAATTCTTTTTATTTAATTACATAATAAAACCAAAGCTCTCAATTATGATTTTTCTTCACTAAAATTATCCCATTAGTTTTTTTATAACTTCATTTTCTATTAATGCACAGATACTTTTGAGGGAAGAAGTGGCAGTCAAAAACCTGCTATTAAAGGTAGCTCTGCACAGCACCAACTATTAAGAATCTTTCACCAACAGTCTTCAGGAATTTTTTTCCTATTATGGGAAAAATGATTTGATTAAATTTTTTGGTGTACATTTATTATTAGGTTATAATAAATAACAAACATTAATAAAAATCTAAACACAATATAATTTATTCAATTTTAACAAAAATTCTCACAGATAACAATATTTTAGTTTAAACAAAAATCAGGTGGAAAAAGTGATTAGAAATATACATAACGACTATTTACAATTATTTACCAGCTAGACTCTTTTAAAACTAGCTTAGAAATGTTAAAAAGAACTACATTGTTCTTCATCAGAAATAATGTGCGCTAAAAAAATAAAAAAATAGAATCATATTGGAAATTAATGTTTATAGTTTAAAGTACAATATTTTACACAATAATAATTTTTATGAATGCAAATTTTGTAGTAATTATACAGATAATTTAATTTCTTGTTAGAAATAAGAAACTACAGCACTGAAGTAATTATTTAAATAAATAAATAGTATGTCTGCTTACATTAGTCCATTTATTATTATAAAAATCTATTATGTACTAACTATAAATTTCACAAAAAAAATATTAAAAATATTGGATAGAAATACATACATAATCTTAACCAGTTTAATTTTTGTTTAAAGTAATAGTAAAACTTGTCAAGATTTTTTAACTATACATTAAAATATTATATCTTGCCAGATTACTCACACACTTAGAACATTAGAAACCATGGATAGTATTTTTGAATATAATTGTGGATTGATGGTTGACTGTAGTAAATAATTGAAGAGAAGGATGGTTGGGGTGATCAGTCAAAATAAAAAATAGTAAAAATAAATAGTTATAAATATATATAAATTTTAATATAAATAAATAATTAGGTCTTTCCGCACTTCTTCGATAGACCAGCCCTGATGGAGGTCTGAACTTCGGGCAGAAACGTCGGCAAATATAAAAATAAATATAATTATTTATTTTTACTATTTTGATTGATCGCCCCAACCACCATTCTCTTCAATTTTTTAATGTAGTATCTCTCAAATAAAGTTAATATCAAAGAAATATTAACTGATACACAAGACTACATAAATCAATATACCAACACTTACATTATATGTGATTTATGCCTTATCACTAAAATTTATTTTTAAAAAAGGGTTCAGTATAACAAGTTCGCTGCGGTTACGGTCTCCAGCGTCCGATATCAAATGTATATATCAATCAGCTTAATATCAAATGTAATGATTAATTAAGTTTGTATTTGTCTTTACATCTATCCCTCTCATTCAAATATTTTTAAAAATGACCATTTTAGAGACTTTGTATTATAGGCAAAATTCGAAACAATCCCAGCCGAAATCGAGACGAATATCGGAACCCGAGGACCGTAGCCGCAGCTAACGTGTTAACAAATATTTTCATAAATTAATGCAAGTTGGAAAACTCAAGATATGTATTGATTTGATATATAATGTTGAGAGTTGACTGAATGAAATGTAATGGGACAGCATATTTTGTATTTTTTTAAAAATATTTTTGTCTTGATAAATTAACTTTTGACTTTTAAGTTGTATAAAGATATTAATCAATGTAGGAAATTTATTTAAAATTATTTTTTAAAAAATTAACTCAACAAGTACACAGAGGTTTTATAAACACTACCAATAGGATTACCTGTAGCAGTAGAATTGTCATATAAGTTTTATCTCGGTATTTGGCAATAATGAGTTAGATATCAAACTTAATTCATTTTTAATGGTAATCATTCCTACAAGCTACAGAGGCCAGGAATGGGAGAATAAAAGCCATACCACCTTATCATCATTCCAGGACATTGACAACACAAACTAACTCAAGACTGAATAAATATCATCTCTTGGATTCTTACCCTGTTCTTTAAATGGCAAATCTATCAAAGAAACAAAATCTTAATAAAAACTAATTATATTCAAAAGTTGGAAGACATGGCTACATTAAACCAAAATATTGGTTATTCAGCTAGCACCCAAGATATTGTTGATGTGGTTGTGTTTACCTATGATTCCTATATCATCTTTAAAATTAAAGTTTTAATAAACTCTTAAATTTATAGAGTATTCTCGCTAAAACATTATTGAGAGATATTTATTCTCTATTTATGTTTATGTTCTTTATTCTGTAAGTAAAAGTACAGACAGCAACGATTTAGAATACTGATCTTGTAGGAACAGTTAAGGATAACATACATCTTCAGACTGTTTTAATTTTTTTACTATTAAAAAAAGTTTAAATGAAACTTAAATGCAGATTGATATTTCAGAAACATCTAAATTATTTTACGTAATTATTAATAAAATTAATTACTTGTATATAGAAATTCGAAGCAAGTCTTTTCTACTTTTGCTCAACATCTTCTGATCTAATTTTTATCATCACAAGATTGGTGTCAATTGTGACGACACAGCCTAAGGACTGAAATATTTTAATACATCAATGCGAGTAGATTTTTTTTCCTGATATATTCCCATAAGGTAGAATTCTTAAAATTGTGGCATGTAGAAAGAAACAAATAGATAAACCAAAGACAAATGCTATGCAAATCAAAATAAGGGCCTCTCTACTTTTAGTAGTTAAATAGCAAACAAGATATTTTCTTCTTGAAAGTAAAAAAAAAAAAAAAAAAAAAAGCAGTAGAGCTCCTTTACTAAGGTCCTGTTTTCCTCACATTTTTGTTTGGAAGACAAATGAAAAATTTTCCAAATTTGATTTATTGAAATGATGGGGATAAAAAAAAAGTCCAGACCCTCCAAAAGACACTTCTCAACACCATTTAAATACACATACAAATTTAACACTCTAATTTGATTTAGAGGGGCTGTAGATGTATACAAAAACAGCGGAAAAATAGTGAGAATAGCAGAAGAACTCTCAAAAGATATTCCTCTAATACTAAATCAATTATCATAAAAATTGTCAACCTTATATCTCACACTCGAGGTCGCAAAACCTTAAAACTGAAAAAAAAAAAAAAAAAGGCTGGGATTAGAGAAAAAAGTTGAGAATCTTAAATCTTTTTTAACTCCAACACTTAAAGGACCTAATGATTTTTATCCTTTAAATCAACTTTTATAATGAATTTAAATATATACAAGTAACAAAAAATTTAATACTGAAATGCTATTTCAGTAAAACAGATCTAAGAATTTTAAAATAACATCATTCTGAATAAAAAATTTTATATTATAATAGACATTTTCTTCTCTTTTTTATCAAAACATCAAACATATCAAGGTAAAAATAAATTAAAGAAAAGTTGAATTAAAAAAAAGAATAATTAATTGAATTTAAACAAATTATTAAAGAAACAAATAACATTGGTATTACTATTTAAATGGTCGTTGATATATTTCTATATACTTATAAAAATTATTTGAGTATGAGTATAAGCCAAAAAAATACCAAGAATCATCATTTTATGATTCATAATTAGCTGTTTTTTTTTTATTGTTATTGCTCATGCAATTGTCATTAATTGCTAGTAGTTTTATCTGATTTAAAAATTTCCAATTGATATCTTAAATGAGCTTATGTTGTCATAAAAAGCATATTATATGAAATCATTGTGGTTATAATAAGTTTAGAATTATTATAATAAAGTAAGCAATTATAAGATAATTTTTAACATTAAGCATCTTACTAAATTAAATGACAAATATATTTCTGATAATAGAGCTTAAATGCCAATTTTTTAAAACATTATATTACTAGAATATAATAACATTTACTACCTTGTTGGATTAATAACAAAATTCTTCCAACAGTACAGTAATGCTTGTAGTAATAACAAAGGTATAAGGGAGGCCTTTTTAGTTTGGGAGGAAGAAATATGAGCTAAGCGTATAAACGCATAATGACCTGAAGAAAAAATTTGAAACATCTTTTTTTTTTTAATCATGCCTTGATAACTAGAAGAATATGCATAACAAATTAAGGCCATGACGATCATAGGATTTGTAGGTTGACAATAAGCGATGGAAAAATAAGATGCAAGGCATTGTTGAACAGGATCCAACTGAGTACATTTTAGATCAAGCCTGGCTAACCTGCAGGGCACATTTGGCTCACAACAATTAACTGTGTGCCTAATTGAATGATTTTATATTTTACCTAAAACTCTCATTTTATTTTATGTTTCTCATTTTATGTATACAAAAAAAAAATATTAATTGCTATATATTTAACTATATACTATAATAACAAACCGCCGTTCTATTTGATACCGGCAAAGGCCAATTATTAATGAAAGAATATGAAAAAAATAGTGAAAGAAAGGATAATCAACTGTCATTAATTAATCCATAAGAATTAATTATAGTAAATCATAATATTTAAAAAAAAATAAATTTACTACTTTTTAAAAACCATATTAACTTTAAGTGCGGTCCATGATAATGTTATTCATCATCATAGCGGCCAATGAGATAACCCATTTAGGTTGGCCATGTCCTATAGGTATTCACATCAGTTTATAATAAATGCATGCTATCTATATAATGCATTTTAATCAATCACTAAACCAGGGTATCAATCTTAATAAATAATATCAGGTAAATTAATGCATACTCCTCGGACAAACTAATACCAAATTAGAAATAAAATACATTTAAATTTTAGAAAACAATTACATTTGATGACGACAAAATAACAGAACATTGTCTTATAAATAAAACATTTGAAATTTTACTCGTGATTAATTATCCAGTTATTTTCTATTGTCTTAAATCTACCACTGTTCATCTTTCTTGTGAAATTATAAGTATGTCCAAAAAAAAACAACTTAAAATCATTTTTATGAAATGAAATGTCCAATTCCATAAAATAGTTTAAGTATTAAATAACAAAAAAAAAAGGTTGGCAAAGAAAATGGCTATTTAAATAATTAGGGTTTTAATATTACTGTTTTTTTTTCAACACTATAAATAAATAATTTAATTTATAATAATAATCATTGTTAAACCAAGTAGCAATTATCAAACATAAACCATGATTTCTGATTCCCAATATGATTCTATAAAAAAATTATGATGAATTGGTGATGTTAAGAAATAAAGTGACTGTGTCTCAGCCACATTCATTAAACTTAAAAACAAAAATTATTTATATTCCATTTTAATAAAATTAAAACAGACAAACCATTAATTTAAAAACAAAATCTAAATTGAAGACATTGTTTGCTCAGTGTTTATCTGAGGTTCTGCCCACACATTGCACAGTATTAGTACAAAAGCCCTTTCACTTAATTAAATAAATATTTTTTTATATTAAAAAAAAATAACTGTATCCTAACAATTAAAAGTTCCACATACTGAATTATGGATTATAATTAAGATGCAACAGGTTGATGAAAAGCTCTTTTTTTAAAAAAGAAATTTGAGAAACCACATTTTTTTTTATCGGTTTGTGGGCATCTTGTTTTTTGTTATAACAGAGTAAAAAGAAAGTGAGAATTAGATAAAAAGACCAAAACGACATTCCTAGATAAAGAACATGAAATTCCAAAAATGAAATAGACCAAAGTCTAAGTCTATGCACATTAAAACTCATTACAAGTACTGACTTAAAAGTAATGTGTAGATTAGTGAATAAAAAGCATCCTAAACAATTAGACTATAAATCTGCTAAGTCCATATGGAGTAAAATGATAAAACACTTCTAATCATACCCACAAAAAAGTTTAATGTCAATAAACAAGTAAAATATTTCATTGCACAAATAGATAAACCAAATCCCTCATCAATGCAAAATGCCTTGTCAAAGGAGAATATTTACAATCAGCCAAACAATTATTTTTTTAAATTATTTTATATAAGTACTAGAGAAACTCTTCGCTTTTTTGTTAATTATTTAAAAATAATTTTCAATAATAAAACTTCTACCGCTGTAATACAAGTATCTATATACGTTCAACAGTAAACTTATTAAATAGTATATTCTTCATAATTAGGTTTGGATAGCAGATTTGTTAGTCTATGCCAATAATTCATCTTACAAACACCTGAATATTTTACAATACTATTCTTATACATCATTTGTTTGTTTTTTTATGTATATATAACCAAAATTTAATAGGTAGTAGTACTGTCATTCAAAGTACAGAGTTTCAGTCTTATAACAATCTCCTCTGGAAATCCTTTTAACTGAAACTAAAAGGATCAAAACTCTGATCAAACATACATTCCCTGCTATCAATATATGGTGAATCACATTTCAAACCATCAATCCGTGTCTTCTAAATTTGCAAGCATCACACTTTTTTTTAAAAAAAATCTTTTTAGTTTTTTTTTTGTTTTTTTGTTTTGTTTAACTGAAAGAATCAGATTAGAACTTAAAAGTAATTAAATTTGAAAAGGCTAACCAAAATGCAATATTTTAAATTAACGGAATGAAACTGTTGCAGGGAGAGGATGGTTCAAGTATGAAGAAACCTTTCACCTAAATTCATAGATTTGGGTACTGTGCTCAGGGACATGATTCAGCGTCAATGATTGATACCTGTAAAAGAAATATTTATTTTATAAGCGGGAGTTGATCATCTATACAATACCCAATTAATTAAAATATTGATCTATTTAATAGATGAAAATAAATTATTAAAACTTACTTACAAATCTATTTACCACTTTTAAGGATTTAAAAATAAAATTAAGAAGTATCTAATCATATAAATTAAATCTACATGATGGTAGGTGATGCAGGCAAGAAAAAAGAAAAACTTAAAATGTGCTGAGATTTTGACCAACTTTTTAGCTCTTCATGCCAAAAGGAAGAGAGAAAACAGGAAAAGTTGGCATACATAAAACACTAATTTTAGTGCTTTGAAGAACTAAACATAAGTTTAATATGTCATATACTTGCTATTAGTCCAATTTAGATGAACTTTTTTTAATACAGAATTTAATTACCTTTACCTTTAAAGCGATTACATAAAATTTCCATAAAATGTATACTTTTTAAAATTTTGTCATAAAATAAAGGCTGATAGATCACAATAACTCAGCATTATTTTTTAATACATTTGATTACCTACTTATAAATATTAATATATAATACAAGGGGCTATAAGGGGTTTATACTGGGGTGGGGGAATTAAGTCTGAATTAAAAGTCCCCCCAGCTCCAGGATTTGAACTCGTAATCTTTGGTTAATTGGGTTGCCAAGCAACACATATTTTACACACGCATTAGCCTGCTATAAATTTTATTCACAATGATGGATGGATTTAAATTATAACTAGAATCACTGTTAAGAATTGTGTAGAGTAAGAGAAAAATATTTCACATAGTCAAAAATATAAACTTCAATAATTATATTTAATGATTATTTGGTTACTCTATGTGTAATGTAATCATATAGGGATTGATCAATCATTTAGCATTTATTATGTTGTATATATGTTACGTTTAAAGATGTTGGAGGGTACGAAGAAAGAAATTGTAATAATGTAAAGTTTTCTTGAAGCATTTTCAGTTAGTTACAGAGCTACAATTCTAATTTGGACCATAGAGGCTTAAATGAAAGGGAGCCAAAAGACACAAATAACAACCTGTTTTGGTGGTTTCATAACAGGAATAAAAATGAAAAAAAAAATTACTATAACACAGAATAAATCAAAGGATTTGGTAATGAAATTAGGGTTCAACTTCACACCAAAAGTTTTACTTGAACAACAGCTAAACAAGGAAGTGCTCAGTATCACACTTATCAGCCTGGCATGCCTACCCCCAACCATTTGAAAGATTAGGTTCACACATTATTCGCACCTATTTTTAATAATATGGGCTGATAGTAAACCAATACATCTGAACAGGTGATTTTCACTCAAATATTATTTTTAAAGCCCCTCAAATATTAATATTGGCTAATCTATAAAATTAAATAAGCTGACAATCCTTTTTTCATTTATAACCACTAACTGCGAAAACTACTGAACTGATTTACATGTGTTTTTTTGTTTTCAAAATGGTCTGTATTGTTATGAGGTTTTAAGCTACTGAAATTCTCAATTTCATCAGTAAAAGTGTTAAATATGTTAAATTCAACCTGATAAGTGAGTTCTTTAAGTATACTCAATATTGCTTGATCCTTAATTACATTTGATTGTGATTAAGTATGTCACTCAAAAAAAAAAAATTTATTATTTATTATAGCTAAGATAAAATGAGAAGATTGACAGTTTTTAATGATTAATTTTTTTTCACATAAATTTTGATCTTCAGTTTCACTCAGTGTTGTACTCTTCAGGTGTATGAATAATCAAGAACTGAAATTAGTGTGACACCGAGATACAGATAGTTAATTTAAATTGAACTATGAAAAAAGACAATAGTTCAGCCCCACATATAAGAATAAAATAATTATATTTAATGTTAACTGAAGCAATTTCATTGATGATAAGAATTATTCATAATAACTAAGAGTTAACTTACATTTCTGAGCTTCTATGATAATAATAACCTTCAATTGTGGCAGTAGATTTTTGAAAACAAATATAATAAAAGCCAGCAAATGAAGCTCCATTTATATCACGTATAGTATGATCTGGGACAAGAAAGTGCTCTTTCCACCTCATAAAAACAAAGTCTGTTTGTTTGATTTCATCGTAGTCAAAACAATCAGAATTAAACGTCTTTGAATACTGGCAGAATGATGAAAACTTACTCTGAAAGAAGTATTTAATATCTAGATATAGTTATATCATTGTTTAAATAACTCTTAGTACAGAACATAATTTCATACCCAATGTTTCTTGTCTACATCTTCATCCGCCTCCCATTTCCGGGTTAAGAATGGATATTTTTTACTAATTATCTCCCCATCAAAAAAAGTAGTGAGGGTAGGAAACTCATCAGTCAATCCTTTAATTTTTAAGTATCCACAAAGATAAGAATTCTCCTCATCAACATACTAAAAATAAATACATTTTTCAAAAAATTTTCTAAGATAACTAATTGCAGAACTTGATGAAATATGAAAAAGGGTGGCCAAAACTCTGAAAGTAAGACTGGATATAAAAAATTGCAAATTACTTGTAAAACTACTTCCACTTCATAACTATTTCCCTTTGACTTCTGGTGCCCTTGAAATCTGGATCCATTATAGAGCAAAGAACGGTTGATTCCTGGTTGTTTTGAATTCGCAGGAGGAGGCGGAATTACTTCAACTTTAACTGGCATTTTACATTTGAAATACTATCAAAAAAGGAAACCTAGATAAAGACTCTCCTCTTAAGTGACCCTAAATATTGTGCGGTTATAAATCGATTTATATCGATGGTGTGGCATTCAGTACAAAATAAAATATGATCAGTGTGAGGCACAACTTTAATTTCCTGAGTTTTTTCAAAGTATAGTAAATCTGTGTCTTTTAAAAAAAGGAGAATTCGTTCTCGTGCATCGCAGGTAGTATCTCTGAACGAATTAATAATAGCACTTTTGCGTTTTTTCCTTTGTTATTTTTACAAATACTTTAAAATTAAAAATTGAGCCTTACTCAAACCTCAAAAAATGACCGATAATTAAAGAATAATTTTAAAAAGAATTTGATTAGGAGATGAGTTCAAAAAATAAAACATACAGTAAGTGTTAGAATTCTTTAATGTGCCAACGTTTCAGCCAAAGTAGCGCCCTTGTCAAGGAATATACAAAAGAAGAGAACGAAGAACTATGAAAGAAATAAAGAATAATAGAAGAAAAAAAGTTTTTTTTTTTAACATAGATTATTTAATCCACACCTGTCACAGCCAGTAACAATAAACGGATGCACTAGGGGATCCAGAATTTATTTTTTGGGGGGGGGGCTTCAGCCCGAAAGTTTTTTTTTCATAAAAATAACGATAATTACTTTGGAAAAAAAGAAAGAAACTAACTACCTGTATGAAATAGTGTTTAAGTTATTCCTAAAGCCCTTTTAAATGTAATTACACGAATAATAATACTTTGAGAGATACTTCTTTAATATTTTTTTCGATAAAACATGGTTATATTTTACCATTTTGGGGGAACTTCAGCCTGAAAGCCCTCCTCCCCCCCACCGTAGCTCCGCCCGTGAACGGATGTGATCCTAAAGTGAATTTTATTCTGAAACAGTGTTCCCAAGTAATTACTACAATTAACAATGAAATTGTTGACAATTGTCTGGCATTAGAAATAATTAAGAATAAATTAAATTACAAAGTTATCTATATATGAAATTAAAATACAGAGAAGGAACTAGTAGAAATATGAAATTATGGATAATATGTAATGTATAGTGAGGCTAAATTCAGCATATGAAAGTTTCCATCCATCAAAATCTATAAAATTACCAGCTTTTCTCACTTAAAAATGCATGATGTAGTGACTTGAATTGTGAGATAGGAGTAGACTTAAAGCCTCGTATAGCTCTTTCAAGCCAATTACTTGAAATATAAATATAATTACTTGAGTATTATAGTGTCTTTTATTATTTTCAATAACGAACCATTGTAATCCACCAACTAAAAACTAAAAAAAAATTACTTCTCCCTCAAAATTTGAGATTTTACGTATCACAATATGTAGAATTCGAAAATCGAATAAAAAGCAAATTGTAGGTTCGCTGTCCTCGGCTTTTCTCCGAGACTACTGGAACGATATTTTTGAGGTCACTCGACGATGGATTTTCCTACCTCGATATTACCATGCGCCCTTTTCTACCAAGAAGGGGGATGAAAAAACTGTGTTATATAGACTGCAGCACCTAAAGAATTTATCAATTTCAGTGAAACTTGGCTGACATCCTCTCTTCGATTTCCTTTAAATTTATGTATAGAACATACTTCACCGAAATGTACTTTACATTCAATATAGATTATAGTAGAGATGGGCAAAAATGTACTCTGAGTAAAAAGTACAAATTACAGAGTAGTTTACTAAAATACTCGCCCAGTTCGAGTACCGAGTACTTTAATCACTGCTCGACCTCATGATTGACGAGTACAAAAAGTAATCAGCTGTCCTCGTGAGTACTTTCTATTTTCAAATCTACTCAGAAATATTTTACTCTGAGCACTTTTTAATGTAGTCGAGAACTTCATTATAAAAATTACAGGAGTAGAATATTTAATATTTCTTCCATATTTAAGTCCATTGTTATCTTATGGGGGTATAGTTTTTTAAAATAGTATCGATATTAATGTAAATCGATAAAATAAATAATTATTAAAATATTTTGAATTTAATCAACTTTGGGGACCATTTTTTTTTTTCTACACCACTTGACTTTTATGATAATAATGTCGGATTTGAGATAGTGCCCCCGAGCACCGACTTTTTGTAACTTTGGAGATTTAATAGATATCAGGTTTGACCATAAGGTTTTACGAAACGCCTTTTATGTAAATACTGTTGAATTTGAGATTGCGCCTTCTCATCGTTGTTTTTGCCCTCTGATATTAAATCCGACGGTTTTTTTTTTTTTTATAAAATGCGTCCCCTAAAACATAATAGACGACCCTGATATCGACTAATTTAAAAACGTGAATCCACTGGGTGTAATATCAAATCCGACAATATTTTCATAAAAAGCGTCTTCCAAAACTTAATTGTCGATCCTGATATCTATTAAATCAGAAAAGTTACTAAAAGTCGGGACCCAGATGTACTATCTCAAATCCGACATCATTTTCATAAAAAGCGCCCCCTAAAACCCATTAGTCGACTCTCATATTGATTTAATCCGAAATATTACAAAAAGTCGAGGCCCAGGGGGGCCCAATCTCAAATTCGATATCATTTTCATAAAAAGCGCCTCCCAAAACATAATAGTCGACCCTGATATCGATTTGATATAAAAAGTTAAAATAAGTTGAAGTCCGGGGGCCCATTTTCAAATTCCATATCATTGTCATAAAAAGCGCCCCCCAAAACATAATAGTCGACTATGATATCAATTTAATCCGAAAAGTTAAAAAAAGTCGATGCCCAAGGGGGCCAATCTCAAATTCGATATCATTTTCATAAAAAGCGCCCCCCAAAACATAATAGTCAACCCTGGTATCGATTAAATCGAAAAAGTTAGAAAATTCGATGCCCGGGGGCACTATCTCAAATTCGACAGTATATTTTTATAAAAAGGGCCTCCCAAAACATGATGGTTAATCTGATATCGATTAATGGGGGGTTAGGGTTGGTCAGGTCGAATATTTTTTGGATCCTCCCCTTCATCGCCGTTAAGGCTATACGTGGTTTTCCCGGGCCAGAGAGTGTGGGCGGGGATTTAAAAGACTCTCTCGGCACCGTGACGCGAATTCGTGACTATTTTTATATCATTTGATGCCGTGCAACGGCATTCCCATTCGACCACCCCGCCCACTTACTTCCGATATCTACTCACACTTGTCATGCATTGTAAATAAACAGATTTGTTGTGATAAGTAATGATAGGCATTATAGGCTTGAGGAAGGATACCCTCTCCTGATGGGAATGTCAGTCGTGGACATTTCGTTAAAAGTCTGTTGATGTATGTGTGTGTCGGTATTCAGAGTTTCACGGGGATTAGCGAATCGTACTCTCCACTGTTTTTATTTCTAAAATAAATAAAGTCGATGTAAACATTTCGTTAGGCTTTGAACCTGGAACTGTGGATCTATACGTGACAAATTGGGATTTGAAGATTTTGAGACGGACCATCCATGCAGAGAAAGCGTGGAGAGGTGGTGGTCCCAACGCCCAGTAGTCAACTACAATCAGCCACTGGCCCTTCAGGTTGGGGGACACTATACTGACATTCATACAGTATATTACCATTTTTTTTTTCTCCACTTCTTCGCTTTTAAGGCTATATGGGTTTTTTTCCGGGCCAAGGGATGAGGGCGGAGGATCAATGCCAGAGTTAAAAACTCATCAGGCACCAGATGTATCGGTATCAGGTTGCTGTGCAGACGCGTTAGCCCGCTCGGCCATCTCGACCCCTTCCCCAAACGGTACACTAGCCACAGCACATTACACAACACCTCACACTACAGATGAAGATCACCCACATTACACACCCTAGGGTTATCCCTCCTAGATAACCATCCCGCAAGGTGGTGCAAGTCCATAGGCACTAAGGGAGCAGTTCTATCAACAGATTAGAGTAGGTAGCTTGGTCGATAGCCCAGCTGCCCAAAAACAAATTATTAAGAATCCTCACAATAGCCTCGGATTTTGACAGTCACATAAGGAAACAACATGACAAACACCATAGCATAAATATTGGATTTTGCAACGTACTATCACTCTACAGACCCGGAACAGTGAAATTGCATTTAGATCAGATTAGGTGTTTTTAACTGGACATTACTGTCACTAAAGAAGTCCGATGAACCAGTTAAGCCATAATGGAGAAGAGAAACTTCGCAGTATATAACAGCAGTAGTGAACAATGCAATAACATTGGGATTGGATTCGTAGTCAGAAAGCGCAATAGGAACTTAGTAATTGGCTATAAAGCAATTAGTCCTGGATTCGGCCTATTAAGGAACCGGGGTAAATTTACAAATAGTACCATGGTAAGTGACCATGCTCCCACAGAAGAAGCTGATAAAGAAGAGAAGGATGCCTTCTACGAACAGTTGGAGGGAACTTTAGATACATGTCCAGGATACGATATGAAGGTCATCGCAGACGACCTCAATGCGAAAATAGGAAAGGAAGAAATTGATATTCCCGAAATCGGTATGCATGGTCTTCACGACTATTACAATGATAATGGGCGACAAATTTTGTTGCAGCCAAGAACTTTGCTAACAAAGACATTCGTAAAGGGATATGGACATCGCCGGATGGTAGGTCAGTTAACCAGATTGATCACACTGGAAAATATATCAGCCTCATAATAAGTGTTCGTATTTTCAGAAGTGTCAACTCGACTCGGACCGTTTTCTTAGCATAACCGCAGTCATAGAAAGAATAAACAAATCCCACCACGGACAAACACTGGCTGCGGATCCTCCTCAATCTGAGAGTGATTTATTTCAGACGTTGCCGCAAAGTCAAAGATCTACAGATATGGAAGACATCTGTTGACCCAGAAATGTTCTACAACCGTGCATACCAACTTGCCAACATCTAAGAAGCCAGTGAGCTACTTATGATGAAATAGTATTTCTCTGATGATTGTTTTACCACTTTACAAGAGATACCGGTGTTTACTTTCCGGGAACTGGTAAAAACCAGAAAACTCTCA